CAGTTCTGGTGCTACTGTGAGGGGGTAACATTGTAGGTAGTTCCTGGGAGTAGTTAGTGCACAGTTCTGGTGCTACTGTGAGGGGGTGACATTGTAGGTGGTTCCTGGGAGTAGTTAGTGCACAGTTCTGGTGCTACTGTGAGGGGGTGACATTGTAAGTGGTTCCTGGGAGTAGTTAGTTCACAGTTCTGGTGCTACTGTGAGGGGTGACATTGTAGGTGGTTCCTGGGAGTAGTTAGTGCACAGTTCTGGTGCACTGTGAGGGGGTAACATTGTAGGTGGTTCCTGGGAGTAGTTAGTGCACAGTTCTGGTGCTACTGTGAGGGGGTGACATTGTAAGTGGTTCCTGGGAGTAGTTAGTGCACAGTTCTGGTGCACTGTGAGGGGGTAACATTGTAGGTGGTTCCTGGGAGTAGTTAGTGCACAGTTCTGGTGCTACTGTGAGGGGGGAGACATTGTAGGTGGTTCCTGGGAGAAGTTAGTGCACAGTTCTGGTGCACTGTGAGGGGGTAACATTGTAGGTGGTTCCTGGGAGTAGTTAGTGCACAGTTCTGGTGCTACTGTGAGGGGTGACATTGTAAGTGGTTCCTGGGAGTAGTTAGTGCACAGTTCTGGTGCTACTGTGAGGGGGTGACATTGTAAGTGGTTCCTGGGAGTAGTTAGTGCACAGTTCTGGTGCTACTGTGAGGGGGTGACATTGTAGGTGGTTCCTGGGAGTAGTTAGTGCACAGTTCTGGTGCTACTGTGAGGGGTGACATTGTAGGTGGTTCCTGGGAGTAGTTAGTGCACAGTTCTGGTACTACTGTGAAGGGGTGACATTGTAAATGGTTCCTGGGAGTAGTTAGTGCACAGTTCTGGTGCTACTGTGAGGGGGTGACATTGTAGGTGGTTCCTGGGAGAAGTTAGTGCACAGTTCTGGTGCTACTGTGAGGGGGTGACATTGTAGGTGGTTCCTGGGAGAAGTTAGTGCACAGTTCTGGTGCACTGTGAGGGGGTAACATTGTAGGTGGTTCCTGGGAGTAGTTAGTGCACAGTTCTGGTGCTACTGTGAGGGGGGAGACATTGTAGGTGGTTCCTGGGAGAAGTTAGTGCACAGTTCTGGTGCACTGTGTGGGGGTAACATTGTAGGTGGTTCCTGGGAGAAGTTAGTGCACAGTTCTGGTGCTACTGTGTGGGGGTAACATTGTAGGTGGTTCCTGGGAGTAGTTAGTGCACAGTTCTGGTGCTACTGTGAGGGGGGAGACATTGTAGGTGGTTCCTGGGAGAAGTTAGTGCACAGTTCTGGTGCACTGTGAGGGGGTAACATTGTAGGTGGTTCCTGGTGGACGTTTAGATATCCAGGAGATCTGGTGAGACATTTTCTTATGGGGAAGTAGTTACTGTAGGCACCTGGACACAGATGGTATGTTACACTGAATGATGACAATTGCTAAAAGATCACGCACTGTTGCAGAGTGAATCATAAATAAATATATCAATCATAACCTACTTGATCTACAGCGTTCAGGATCTCTCTCAGATGGATACCATCTTGTACAATAACATTTCATAATGACAAACACAACTGAATGAGTATGTAACAAGCATGAAGCTGAACTTGACCTTGACACACTATCTCTAATCTCAAAACTATACTGATCCAAGTAATTACATCTAATAGGAAGTAAACCACAGACACTCAAAGACTTGAGTGCATTATATTAAAAATATGTGATTTGCTTAGATGATGCCAATGGATTGTTAAGCACAAAACGCTCATTAAACAATGTTACAAAGTAATTACTAGAATAGTTGTGCAGCCAGTACCCACGGCAGTAGCCATGGGTATTAAACCTCATAATCCTTGGCACTGTCCACATAAACAATGATTTCCATGGCAGTAGTCACAGGCAGTAAACCTCGTAATCCTTGGCACTATCCACATGAACAATGTGAAAAGGAATTTTGATACACCCCCCCCCCCCCCCCACCCACACCCTCTCCCTCACAAACATCTCGTCTTTAGTTCTTGCTCTCAGTTCCTATTCCACAGTTTCTTTAAGCTGGATTTAGGTTAAATCCACTATAATCCATGATTATAGTGGATTTATCCCTACATGCAGCAGCAGTATCCTGTAAACATTATGCACCCAACAACTCTGGACTATCTCTACCCTTTAAGACCACAGCAATACCTTAATCTGATACCAACATACAACATTGCGGATGGAGGTGTTTGGGCAGTCTCCAGAGAGGAAGGGAAATCAATGTTATGGTGAATGTTCCCCTTTACCTGCCCCACCTGCTTCCCCTCTTATTTGTGTTGGGTCTGGGGACAGGTGGAAGCAAGTGAGGGGAAAGGAGGGAGGGAGGGTGTGGGGAAGGGCAGGGGGGGGATGGAGAAGGGGCACGCGGCGGGGGGGGGGGGGAAGGAAGGAAATAGAGAAGGGGGCGCAGAGGGAACATGAAGGGAATGGAGAAGGGGGCGCTGATATGGGAGGGGGATGGGGATGGAGAAATGTCCGGTAGTGTGTCATAGAACTAGGTCATATCAGTCGTGGAGTTCTATTGGTATATACTGAACGAACCATGAGCCAGAATGATTTTCATTCACAGTAGTGAATGAAAAGAAATCATGAGACCATGATTTCTGGTCTCCTCACAGAGGTGCCGGAAGTGGTGACACTTAAGATAAAATTTGCATTAATTTATTCAAGTCTGCCTCTCACCAGGAAAGACACCTAGAAAGTCAGTGAAAGAAAACAAACCATTGCTGGCTCCTTTTCTTCTCAGACTTGAAGAGAGGAGGACCTTCTTGGCCTTTGTTGTGAAGGTTTTAATTGTGCCTCCTGAGTTCTTAAACCCTGTGCCCCAGATCGGAGTCGCCGCCTGCCTCGCGTTCAGTGGGCAGTTTGGCCTGTTTTTAGCTTCATAGTTGCTCTTCGCTCGCTTCTCCATCTCCATGTTGGTGGCTTCCATCTGTAGGCAATTCTCAATCTGTGTGTGTTCTCGGGGCCTGGGGTGGTGAGGTCATTGGGCTTCGTTGTCTGTTAGTCAAGGAAGTTCTTCTGTGAGACCAAGATTTGGGCTGTTGTTTTTCTTTCAGCTGGTTTGCCTTGGCAGGTCTGTTCTGTGCTCACTCTGCTCGCACAGGGAAGGGAACCCTGAGCACATTCAGCTCCAGTTACACTGAACTTCTAGCTCATGCTGCACTAACGTGCACAAAAACAGCCTCAAAGGCAAACACCAGTTAGCTAAAGGCAGGAGACTGGAGCCAGAGCGAGTTGAGAGGGGCGACAAGGCACATACACATCAGTATAAGAACTGGTGATGGAGCAGCCAGCTGACCCGGTCTGCTTCCCTCCTTCCCCCAAAGGAGAAGGGAAGGTGGGACGAACTAGCTCGAGGTAGTTTCAATTATTTGTTTACATTGTTGGGGGAGTTCTTTTGGCAGTTTTCAGACTTCATATAAGAACACTGTCTTAACATCAGAGGTCCACGGCTGTTCAACGTCCTCCCAGCGACTATAAGAAATATTGCCAGAACAACCATGGACATCTTCAAGAGAAAACTAGACTGTTTTCTAAAAGACGTTCCGGACCAACTGGGCTGTGGTGGGTATGTGGGCCTGCAGGTCGCTCCAAGCAACAGCCTGGTGGACCAAACTCTCACAAGTCAAGCCTGGCCTCGGGCCGGGCTTGGAGAGTAGAAGAACTCCCAGAACCCCATCAGCCAGGTATTAACCAGGCTTCAGTTTGGTTTCTAACCATGCAGTAGTCTGTTTTATTTGCTGATTTTCTGGGTGCTTTACCTTGGTGGTGGCACTATGAAAAACTTTGATGTAAAGTTTTTTTTCATAGTGTCACCGCTGCTCCTCTCTCTGAGGGAGCCAGGTTCTGGCTCATGTTCCCCGGTAGACCAATAAGAACTCCGCGACTGATGGCACCTAGTAGTATGGCACTGTATGAGTGTAGTAGCTTTAGGGAGCCACAAGGGGCTCTCCCCATAGTCATTAGCATGGCATCTCTTGAAAAGTTTGTATTATGCAACATAGGCCTCGTAGCCTCGAGGGGGCCTCGTAGCCTGGTGGATAGCGCGCAGGACTCGTAATTCTGTGGCGCGGGTTCGATTCCCGCACGAGGCAGAAACAAATGGGCAAAGTTTCTTTCACCGTGAATGCCCCTGTTACCTAGCAGTAAATAGGTACCTGGGTGTTAGTCAGCTGTCACGGGCTGCTTCCTGGGGGTGGAGGCCTGGTCAAGGACCGGGCCGCGGGGACACTAAAAGCCCCGAAATCAACTCAAGATAACCTCAAGATAGGCAATAAATACTGTTTCTTATACTGACAGCCTATTTTGCTCCTTAAACATAAGGCTTCTTACTATTACTTCCATGTCATGTGTGTAAATGTTTTTTTCTATGCGATTTGGTTTCAAATTGTACCATATTGGTGAGGTTGAGGTTAGTACTTTTATTCATTGAGTATGATATCCTATGATATCCTCTGTGACCCTCTGGAAGACTTAGTTTATATTGGTTGGTTGGATGGTTGCTGTGTCTTCTCCAGAACCTACCTAAACAATTCTGACATCTGTGTAGGATGATACAACAGTACAATTTGCATCCTTGTCTATTTCTGATCAAATAAGAAAGCAATGAAGCAAGTACAGAGCCCTACTCCGTACATCTATGCAGTAATTTATTACATTTTAAGCCACTAATCTGGCCTGGCCCCAGGCTTGGCTCGGGGAGTAAAAGAACTCTCAAAACCCCCTCCAGGTATGCTCCAGGTATATTCTTATGAATAATGTTATATTAGTATGTTTGTATAGCAATTGACCTAGTTGCTTTGGCTTTTGGAAACTTATAGCCAATCAGTAAATCTGTGGATATCAAATATAATATTCCTAAGATTGGTCCAGTTAGTAGAGTGGAAGTGCCAAAGTAAACATATCAGTTTTAATCATTTAATTAACTTCTGCAATATATGCTTGTTGATGTTGATTATTTTTTTTCTACAGCATGCTGCAGAAACAGAGAAGAGACAAAATGAGGCGGAGAGTAAGAAACTTATGGGCACAGTTATCAACTATGGTATCACCATCCAGGTAAGTGTTGTGCTGTCCCTGTGACCCTCCAGGTGTATGCTGTCCCTGTGACCCTCCAGGTGTATGTTGTCCCTGTGACCCTCCAGGTGTATGTTGTCCCTGTGACCCTCCAGGTGTGTGCTGTCCCTGTGACCCTCCAGGAGTGTGTTGTGTGCTGTCCCTGTGACCCTCCAGGTGTATGTTGTCCCTGTGACCCTCCAGGTGTATGTTGTCCCTGTGACCCTCCAGGTGTATGCTGTCCCTGTGACCCTCCAGGTGTGTGTTGTGTGCTGTCCCTGTGACCCTCCATGTCCTGTCCCTGTGACCCTCCAGGTGTATGTTGTCCCTGTGACCCTCCAGGTGTGTGTTGTGTCCCTGTGACCCTCCAGGTGTATGTTGTCCCTGTGACCCTCCAGGTGTGTGTTGTCCCTGTGACCCTCCAGGTGTATGTTGTCCCTGTGACCCTCCAGGTGTGTGCTGTCCCTGTGACCCTCCAGGTGTATGCTGTCCCTGTGACCCTCCAGGTGTGTGTTGTGTGCTGTCCCTGTGACCCTCCAGGTGTGTGTTGTGTGCTGTCCCTGTGACCCTCCAGGTGTGTGTTGTGTGCTGTCCCTGTGACCCTCCAGGTGTATGCTGTCCCTGTGACCCTCCAGGTGTATGCTGTCCCTGTGATCCTCCAGGTGTGTATTGTCCCTGTGACCCTCCAGGTGTGTGTTGTGTGCTGTCCCTGTGACCCTCCAGGTGTGTGTTGTGTCCTGTCCCTGTGACCCTCCAGGTGTATGCTGTCCCTGTGACCCTCCAGGTGTATGTTGTCCCTGTGACCCTCCAGGTGTGTGTTGTGTGCTGTCCCTGTGACCCTCCAGGTGTAATTACTAATTACCTAAGTGTAGTTACAGGATGAGAGCTACGCTCGTGGTGTCCCGTCTTCCCAGCACTCTTTGTCATATAACGCTTTGAAACTACTGACGGTCTTGGCCTCCACCACCTTCTCACTTAACTTGTTCCAACCGTCTACCACTCTATTTGCGAAGGTGAATTTTCTTATATTTCTTCGGCATCTGTGTTTAGCTAGTTTAAATCTATGACCTCTTGTTCTTGAAATTCCAGGTCTCAGGAAGTCTTCCCTGTCGATTTTATCAATTCCTGTTACTATTTTGTATGTAGTGATCATATCACCTCTTTTTCTTCTGTCTTCTAGTTTTGGCATATTTAATGCTTCTAACCTCTCCTCGTAGCTCTTGCCCTTCAGTTCTGGGAGCCATTTAGTAGCATGTCTTTGCACCTTTTCCAGTTTGTTGATGTGCTTCTTAAGATATGGGCACCACACAACAGCTGCATATTCTAGCTTTGGCCTAACAAAAGTCATGAACAATTTCTTTAGTATATCGCCATCCATGTATTTAAATGCAATTCTGAAGTTAGAAAGCATAGCATAGGCTCCTTGCACAATATTCTTTATGTGGTCCTCAGGTGATAGTTTTCTATCTAGAACCACTCCTAGATCTCTTTCTTTATCAGAATTCTTTAAAGATTTCTCACATAATATATAGGTTGTGTGGGGTCTATGTTCTCCTATTCCACATTCCATAACATGACATTTATTAACATTAAATTCCATTTGCCAAGTGGTGCTCCATATACTTATTTTGTCCAGGTCTTTTTGAAGGGCATGACAGTCATCTAAATTTCTTATCCTTCCTATTATCTTAGCATCATCAGCAAACATGTTCATATAATTCTGTATACCAACTGGTAGGTCATTTATGTACACAATAAACATCACTGGTGCAAGAACTGAACCCTGTGGTACTCCACTTGTGACATTTCTCCATTCCGATACATTGCCTCTGATTACTGCCCTCATTTTTCTATCAGTCAGAAAATTTATCATCCATGTTAGAAGCTTACCTGTCACCCCTCCAATATTTTCCAGTTTCCAGAACAACCTCTTATGTGGAACTCTGTCGAAAGCCTTTTTTAGGTCCAGATAGATGCAGTCAACCCAACCATCTCTTTCCTGTAATATCTCTGTGGCTCGATCATAGAAACTGAGTAAATTCGATACACAGGATCTTCCAGATCGAAAACCATACTGTCTGTCTGATATTATATCATTTCTCTCTAGGTGTTCTACCCATTTAGTTTTGATTAGTTTTTCCAATACTTTCACTATTACACTTGTCAATGATACAGGTCTATAATTGAGGGGGTCTTCCCTGCTGCCACTTTTGTAGATTGGAACTATGTTAGCCTGTTTCCACCCGTCTGCTACGATTCCTGTACACAGGGATGCCTGAAAGATCAGGTGAAGTGGAATGCTGAGCTCAGATGCACATTCTCTCAGAACCCATGGTGAAACGCCATCTGGGCCAGCTGCTTTGTTCTTACCGAGCTCCTTGAGCATTTTTTCCACTTCGTCTCTAGACACCTCTATGTGTTCTATGTTGTTCTCTGGAATTCTTATTGTATCTGGTTCCCTAAAGATTTCATTTTGTACAAACACACTTTGGAACTTTTCGTTTAGTGTTTCACACATTTCCTTTTCATCTTCCGTGAATCTATTTCCCATTTTCAACCTCTGAATATTATCCTTTACCTGCAATTTGTTGTTTATGAATTTATAGAATAGACCTGGTTCTGTTTTACATTTGTCCGCAATCCCTTTTTCAAAATTTCTTTCTGCCTCTCTCCTCACTGCCGTGTAGTTGTTTCTCGCATCTTTGTATCGCTGGTATGTTTGGGGGTTCGGCCTCTTCCTGTATTGATTCCATTTTTGTGTCTTTCGGTCTCTAGCCCTCTCGCAATTTCTATTGAACCAATCCTGTTTCCTAGTTCTGCATCTCTGTTTTGGTATAAATTTTTTTGTGCCTTTATCATATATTTCACAAAACTTGCCATACATCTCATTCACTTCCTTGCCTAGCATCAAGTCTGTCCAATTATACTCACTAAAAAAATTTCTAAGGTCACCATAATGTCCTCTCCTGAAGTCTGGTTTTTCAACTGCTTCAACCTCCTTATTTTCTTCCAGCTTATAACGCATTGCATACTTTATTCCCAAAAAGACATGGTCACTTTTACCCAAGGGAGGAAGGTACTGAATGTCAAATATCTCTTCCTCCTTCCTGGTAAATATCAAATCTAGCATGGAGGGAACGTCCCCTTCCCTCATCCTCGTAGCTTGTTTAACATGTTGATACAAGAATGTTTCCAGGATGAGGTCTACAAATTTACAGGTCCAAAAATCTTCTGTTTTAGCTTCATATGCTTCCCAGTCTATGGATTTCAAGTTGAAGTCACCGACTATCAACAGTCGTGATCTATCGTTATCCGCTCTCGCTATAATCTCTCTCATTATTGTTATAAGACCTTCACGTTTACTATCTAGCTCCTCCTTTGACCATGTGCTGCTTGGTGGTGGACTATATGCATTTATCATCATTAGTTTATCATCCTCATAGCAGATCTCTAGTGCTATTATGTCAACTTCTTGTGGATTGGCAGTCATTATTTCCTTCACCTTTAGGTGTTCTTTTACCAGCACAGCAACGCCACCGCCTTTCCTAATTTTTCTGTCCCGTCTCCAAATTGAGTAGCCCCTCGGGAATATGACCTCATTTAAAATTACATCTTCAAGTTTTGTCTCCGTGAGTGCAACAATGTCTGGTGTCTGCAGCTGTATTACATCACTTAACTCCAGTATCTTCAGTGTGTGTTGTGTGCTGTCCCTGTGACCCTCCAGGTGTGTGTTGTGTGCTGTCCCTGTGACCCTCCAGGTGTGTGTTGTGTGCTGTCCCTGTGACCCTCCAGGTGTGTGTTGTGTGCTGTCCCTGTGACCCTCCAGGTGTATGCTGTCCCTGTGACCCTCCAGGTGTATGCTGTCCCTGTGATCCTCCAGGTGTGTGTTGTCCCTGTGACCCTCCAGGTGTGTGTTGTGTGCTGTCCCTGTGACCCTCCAGGTGTGTGTTGTGTGCTGTCCCTGTGACCCTCCAGGTGTGTGCTGTCCCTGTGACCCTCCAGGTGTGTGTTGTGTGCTGTCCCTGTGACCCTCCAGGTGTGTGTTGTGTGCTGTCCCTGTGACCCTCCAGGTGTATGCTGTCCCTGTGACCCTCCAGGTGTATGCTGTCCCTGTGACCCTCCAGGTGTATGCTGTCCCTGTGACCCTCCAGGTGTATGCTGTCCCTGTGACCCTCCAGGTGTGTGTTGTGTGCTGTCCCTGTGACCCTCCAGGTGTGTGTTGTCCCTGTGACCCTCCAGGTGTGTGTTGTCCCTGTGACCCTCCAGGTGTGTGTTGTCCCTGTGACCCTCCAGGTGTGTGTTGTCCCTGTGACCCTCCAGGTGTGTGTTGTGTGCTGTCCCTGTGACCCTCCAGGTGTGTGTTGTGTGTTGTCCCTGTGACCCTCCAGGTGTGTGTTGTGTGTTGTCCCTGTGACCCTCCAGGTGTGTGTTGGGTGCTGTCCCTGTGACCCTCCAGGTGTGTGTTGTGTGCTGTCCCTGTGACCCTCCAGGTGTGTGTTGTGTGCTGTCCCTGTGACCCTCCAGGTGTGTGTTGTGTGCTGTCCCTGTGACCCTCCAGGTGTGTGTTGTGTGATGTCCCTGTGACCCTCCAGGTGTGTGTTGTGTGCTGTCCCTGTGACCCTCCAGGTGTGTGTTGTGTGCTGTCCCTGTGACCCTCCAGGTGTGTGTTGTGTGCTGTCCCTGTGACCCTCCAGGTGTGTGTTGTGTGCTGTCCCTGTGACCCTCCAGGTGTGTGTTGTGTGCTGTCCCTGTGACCCTCCAGGTGTGTGTTGTGTGCTGTCCCTGTGACCCTCCAGGTGTGTGTTGTGTGCTGTCCCTGTGACCCTCCAGGTGTGTGTTGTGTGCTGTCCCTGTGACCCTCCAGGTGTGTGTTGTGTCCTGTCCCTGTGATGGTGTCCCACCTGCGTGCTTCGTCTCGGCGGCGGTATGTGGTTTTTTGGTGGTCCTTCCGTTTTTCTTTTTGTCTCTTCGTAGGTATGCTGCGTTTTGTTGGCGGGGTCTTGTCCTTCTCTTGTGGAGGTTCAGGACCGTCATCTTGGCACATACTGTTGCCTTGTCTCGTGTTGCGCTGGCGGAATCGTTCCAGGTTGATTTCTTTTTAGGTGTTCCCCCTACTCCAATTCATAAGCTGTCTCTGGCGTGGTTCACCTCAGGCCTGCTCATGCGCTGCTTGAGCCGTCCTGGTCCTTGGATTGGGTGCTCTTTTCTCTTCTCCTCGGTTTGTTGTGGCCCCTTCGGTTCTGGATTGTTTTCCCAGGTTTTTTCTTGTTGGCACTGACCTCTGGGGGTTGAGTCGGGGAGCTTCATGCTCTCCTCCAGTGCAGGGGTTTCTGCTCTTTTGGTCCTCGTGATAGGTTTGTTCGCTTGCAGCCGTCTCCTTCTTTTCTGGTAAAGATTGACATGGCTGTTTTCCGGAGGGGTCCTTGGGTTGTTGATGCTTGGCCAGGCCGGGGGTGCATCTTGTGTTGTGTTCGGTTGTGGCACTTTGCCATTCTTTGCGTGCCACGGCTGCCGTGACCTGGGTCGTGCTTTGGGTTGCTCTGGTTTCCCTTCTTCCTTGTTCCAGGGTGCGGTTCTCTCGGGTCGTCCACGGGGTGGTTCTGTCGAGCCTGCAGTCTATCCCCTTGCCCACGACGTTCGTACCTTGACTATGTGTTCCTTCGTTGATGTTCCTGGGCCTTGTTGGGCCTGTGTGGTCTTGAGTTGGTTGCAGTCTTTTGTCTCCTCTTCGCGTTGAGGAGTGAGCGACAACCGCCTCCCTTGTTTTCACCTATTGGTAAGTAGTTCGGGGGAGCCGACGGGACTCCCCCCAAAAAACCAGTGTTGAATGTAATGAAACGCCATTTTCTGGGTGAGACCCGTAGGATCCCCAGCAACCCCCTCTCCCTCCTTCCAGTCGGCGGTTTTTTGCGTGTTTTGGTACCCAATCTCAGAACTGGGGTCTTGGGTAACCGGTGCGAGGGGTCTGGGACATCCCCTTTCCCCTCCTGGGACGGGAGCTGCACAGACTGCGGCGCGGCGACATGATGACGTCATGCTCATTACCTCATTTTTGTTTGGGGAGTTCAGTCCTCTAGTTCGGCTCTCAGTAGCAATTTCTTAACCCGAATAGGGGGTTTGTTTTGGGATGCTTATCTTTCTGGGTGCCTGACCCAGTCGGTGGCAGACATAGAATGCTTCCAACCACATGGGGGTTTCTATAGGCCAGTGCTCCTCGTGCCTCATTGAGGGAGCCAGGTTCTGGGTCGTGGTCCCTGGTAGGCCTAAGAACCCCATTCACACTGACTGATGCCAAAGTCTAATATTAGCAATATCAGCCTGGATAGCTCCGGGGAGCCTCCGGGTCTCACCCAGAAAATGGCGTTTCATTGCATTCGATGCTTGTTTTTTTCTCCTGTGTGTGTTATATCTTACATCTTCCTTTCTTCTTTTGATGTGACGACTATGGTATGTGACAGGGTTCTGGCTTTTGTCTGTGGTAGGCCATAATAAAATAATAAATGCCTGGTGAGATGGTACCAGTCTTGGGGATCCAGTACATAAGGTGTGGGGGAGCCAATGAAGGCCAACCCGAGAAACAAATAGTTTTAATTTGTTTAGAGAATATGTATTATTTATATGCCAACAATTCTTTTATATATTAATATGCGTCTAAATATTGAGAAATCTGCATTGTGATATTTTCTAAATGAAAAGTACTGTACAATAAATTCGTAGATACCTACTCTAAATAGCTGAAATTGGGCATTGTTTTGGAAATGGGGATTTTCTTGCAAATCTGTATTGGGTTCAGAGCAATGTTATCATAATTTTTTTTTAAATGCCTCTGTGTTGCTAAATTGAGATGCAGTTCTCACAATATTGTGATGGGAATGACCATCTTGAGTTACGTGTACAGACTGGGTTTTATTATCACCACTATTGCTAGTACATGTGCAGTATTGCTGTTACTACTACTAAAGTAAATGTTGATAGTTATACAATACTACTACTAATGTTGTACTAAAGTAGTAATTCTGTTAATTTTGTTTTTACTGTTGTTATTACTAATTTCTGTTTGATATTATTAACAGTTATTGCACCTCAAGTCCAACAAGTATCTGACAGTAAACAAGCGGCTTCCAGCACTGCTGGAGAAGAACGCCATGCGAGTATACTTGGATGCTAATGGGAATGAAGGGTCGTGGTTTTATATCAACCCGTACTACAAGCTCCGTAACCCCGGTGACACTGTAGTGGTTGGGGACAAGGTCATCCTCAGCCCAGTGAATGCTGGCCAGCAACTTCATGTCTCAAGCATGCATGATCTTCGTGATCATCCAGGATGCAAGGAGGTAACATTGATTTGCTCTTTTGAGTTTACATTTTGACATAAATTAGACAGTAATGAACATGGAACACTCTAAGTTAAATGCTAAAGTCTCCTGCTTTCATTTATCTACAAAAAAATGTGAAAGCTTCTGGATGGTGAACACATTTTTGAGTGTTAATATTATTAACACTATCGCATGCGGCGCTCACGCGCCGCAGACTTTGACATCATGGGGCGGATGGTGCGGGCGAGTGTGCGGCGATGCCTAAATGTGTGTACTCGTTTCAGTTTTCTCACCTTAATTCTCGTGCTACGTCATTCATTTTGGTATCATTGTGTTCGCAATGGAATTGCCTACAAGTGTATATGCATATACACTTGTAGCATCTTATTGCTTCGTAAGCAATAAGCATCTTATTGCTTCGTAAGCAATAAGCATCTTATTGCTTCGTAAGCAATAAGCATCTTATTGCTTCGTAAGCAATAAGCATCTTATTGCTTCGTAAGCAATAAGCATCTTATTGCTTCGTAAGCAATAAGCATCTTATTGCTTCGTAAGCAATAAGCATCTTATTGCTTCGTAAGCAATAAGCATCTTATTGCTTCGTAATTACAATTATTACTTAACCTATACCTATAATAGGTTAAGTAATAATTGTAATTACAAAGCAATAAGATGCTTATCTTAACATACTAAGAAGGTTAGGTAAGGTCGGTGTTTTCTATGAAGCTTTTCAAGGTAAACTAGTATGTTTAGTATGTCACATATGCATTTATTTAATAAGTCAATATTGACTATACGAAAGTGCGAGAACGGGTTGGCATATAATGTCCAAAACCCCGGCGTGACTTCCCACAGCAAAGCCTAAAGTCCGAAAAGTTTCCTGTGAGCGCACAAAATCAGTAAAATGTGTATTTTTGTTTCAGTTTTCTCACCTTAATTCTCGTACTATGTCGTTCGTTTTGGTATCATTGTGTTCGCAATTAAATTCCCTGTAGGTGTATATGCATATAATGTCCAAAAGTCTGGCGAGACTCCCCGCAGCAAAGTCTAAAGTTACCTGTGAACGAGCACCAATTTGCACACCACAACCTAATGCGTATACTCGTTCAGTTTGATAACATCAATTTTCGTGTTACATCGCTTGTTTTGGTATCAAATTGTTTGCAATATAAAGGCGCGCATTTTAAAACTAGTCTCATAATAATAGAGCAATAACTGGAATTTTAACAAATATTTTAATTTTGGATGCTCATCATCACAATTATTTATATCTTTCCAGTGTTCTGACATCAATTTTCGTGTTACATCGCTCGTTTTGGTATCAAATTGTTTGCAATCTAAAAGTACGCATTTTAAAACTAGTCCCATAATAGTAGCACAATGAATAGAATTTTAACAAATATTTTAACATTTAAAATTTAGACCCAAAAACATATTTATAATCTTTCAAGTGTTCTGACATTAAGTTTCATGTTACATCTTTCATTTTGGTATCAAATTGTGCCCACTCTAAAGGCACTTATGTATTTTGAAACTATCCCGAGGTCGATTGGATAAAAAATGAATTTTATACAAATATTTTTGAAGTGGACACGAGTCCTGTCCACGGCTATGACTCAAGAGAAAAAAAGTGGATGTGATCAGTGTCCAAAGTGAGCAATACTGTTAACATTACAGATAGACAAATTTCCTGTTCTTATAATAGATGACTACATACAGTATTTGCTTGCTTTTAATTATTACTTGGAATATTTTGTTTGACAGGTCAATGTCTTAAATTCAAACACATGTTGGAAGATATCATTATTCTTGGAGCACAAGGAGAATTTGGAAGGAATATTAAAGGGAGGTGATGTGATCCGGCTCTTCCATGCAGAGCAGGAGAAATTTCTTACCATGGATGAATACAAAAAAAAGCAACACGTTTTCCTGAGGACAACCGGAAGAACCACTGCCACAGCAGCAACTTCCAGCAAAGCATTGTGGGAAGTTGAGGTTAGTCACTTGCACCATAAATTGTAAAGGTAAAGTACCCTAAATAAAGAATTGTCCAGGTCGTCTTGTAGTCGTCTACTGTATTTATCCTCATAATATTTTCATCATCGGCAAACATAGAAAGGAAGATATCTATCTTCTCTGGTAAGTCTTCCAGATATATTAGGAATAGGCTTTTTGTGTGTGACGGCCCTTTTTTGGTATACTGTAGTTTGTATTTTCCCGTGAAGCATCTCGTTGTTTCATAAGCACTGCTACAGAAAGTACTCAACAGTGGACAGTTTTTTTTGTTAGAAACTTTGTCACTGGATTTCCAACATTATGTTCATGGTTCTGGCCATAAATGTTCCATAGGTTTTTGCTGGTCCACTGATTCTAGACTTTTAGATGTTTATTTTTAGGGGTGGGGAAGTAGATTTGTGATCCCAAGAGGCACAGTTAGCTCCAGTATTTGGCATTCATTACCATGGAAGCACTCTGACTTTCCTGTCTGAAGTTAGGACATGGAATGGTTAATGCCTTGACTAGGCTTGCTAGTTGTCATGTTGCAACCCTTGTTGTCCTTTAATGCTTAGATTTTGAAACCCTAGATTTGCATACCTGTGCCCTGGTTATACTAGTTACATCGGTGGTCCCTCAAGGTTGAGAGAGAGAACTCTGGGAAATTTTCCTGTTCTTGCATTGTCCAGTGGTAGGACAAAGTGAATTTAGGATTTTTTATCCCCACTTCAATTATTCTTTCCTAGTATTGTACTGTATTTCTGTTGGGCTAGAGACCTGAACACACTAGTCTTTATGTAAATTTTCAGGGATTTTAGACTATTTGTGAACTTGAAAGTACTGTACATTAGTTTTGTCCCCTGTATTCCCTATATTGAGTTGGATAGTATCACCCTCAGATATGTGAAATTTGCAGGAATTGGATGAATACCTATTATTGATTATGGGGAGGGAGATTAGTTCTTAATTTGCCCTCTGGTATTTTGTACTCGGTATTCATATTACGTTCCTTGTCTTTCAAATTTTGTCATATTTTTTTCTTGACGTTGTCCATGGAATTGGCTTCAATGACTTCATCTTCTAAGTGCATTCCACTTGGCAACTATCCATATAGGTTATGAGAATTTGCTTGCATGTATACGATTAGATTATGTATCCAGCTTGCACTGCTGCCCGCTTGTCCTGCTGCCGCCTTAATACTGTAGGCTGTCCATGTCCACTGTTTCTGTTTCCCTCAGTATCTTGCAGGTAGTGTACAGGTCTCAAGTGATCAATGTCAGTCTGGAAAGCAGAACATTATATTAAAAATTTTATGTGTGATTTATATGTAATTTTTATTAATCGTCAATATTTTATTCGTGTCAAGGTTGTACAACACGATCCATCTCGGGGTGGAGCAGGTCACTGGAACTCCCTGTTTCGTTTCAAGCACCTTGCCACTGGTCATTACTTGGCTGCTGAAGTTGACGATGACCCAACTCCTGATCCTACTCGAACAAAGCTAAGAGGTAAATATCTTGGTAAATTAACCAATAATTTGGAAGAAAGTAAAATGCTCGAGGAAAATTAGGCATCGAAAACTGAAATTGATGGTATATCCATCGTCGTGATTGAAATATATATTTATATATGGTAAATATATATATACACTGTTACTAGGGGAAACATGTATCATTGTAACAATTACTTTCTTGTTTCTTGAGCAATAAACTTTGATTTGCTCCACTAGGGTTATGTATTTCATAAGTACTTAGGCTAACTAAAGAAAAGTTTTAGATATAATTATGCAGTATTTATAAAAGCATATCATACCATAATTGATGTCTAGTGCTTCATTTGTTTTTAATATCATCCATCCAAATTTCATACAAAGTGCCTAGATGGTGACAAATTTAAAGAGCTTTATCAACATTATTTCAAGCTCTTGTCTACAACAGTATTAATTGTGTTATGTAATCCATCAAAGTGTTAATCAAATTATTAAGATGGTACATAAACAAATAGTTTCTTAAATATTTCTGATTTAATTTTTGCAATCTGAGAGAGAAATTAGTACACACACTGAGAAAATACGTGTAGGTTCTTGCTGTAAAGAGCGTGCATGTTGCATCATGCTTTGTTGACATTACCACTGCTGTTAAGCTTACAGCAACCTGCAGATGATCCAGTTCTTCTCCCATACATATCCTAACAAAATAATACCTTATTTTTGTATGCTGTGGGATTTAATGTTTTCATCAGATGAAAGTAAAAAGGCTGTGGCAATGGCTGGCAGGTCACTGTTTCATGAAGACAAAGATGAACTTCTACCCCCTCCCCACTCCCCCCTCCCCCCATCCCTGTGTCAAAGTAGCATAGTAGTTAATTTGTTTAACGATTAATTGAACATTATTTATAAATCTAGGTGTTCTGTTTAGCAGTTATCCATACAGCAAAGTTACCATTCCACAGAATACATTTTATGTAACCAGGATTTCTGTTATGGTTCAAAGTTGCTTATTATGTAATAAAAAGCTTGCAAAAACAAACATGCGATAAAGAATGTTGACGGTTCTGAGCAAGGTACCTCGTGTTACTAGTAGTGTAAGACCTGGTCCCCACCCAGGACATTATTAGACAGTTCAGGCAGTCCACATTAATCCCCACTCTGTCATGAATCTTTGCAAACACGGAAATCAAGTGCAACAGGGCAAGGGAGGCACTGGAGATTATTAGATCCAGCGAGAAATGAGCAACATAAAGAAATGTCCATTAAAAAATGTGACCAATACCTTAGTTTTTCAGGTGACACCAAGCATCATTCTTTCAAGTGCCAGTTAGGTCACCTGGCCAGTACCCCTTTCAGCTTAAGTTGGTGTTCCTGGAACCTGTACTAGCATTTCCTAGTCATATTGCTCTGCTGTTCTGGATGCTGCGAAGTTTGATTCCAGCTTTGAGTGAGCTTTTGCTGTTTGTAGTTTTGCAAGGTGTGGTGTGCAACTACTTTCTTGGCTTTTGTGGGTGTCAAGCAAACTCTGTTTTTCATTGAGCAGAAAATTGAGGCACTGGTGTGATCAATTTTTGAGTTGCTGTTGAGAGCTAATATGGTGGGCTTCTCTGGTCCAAATTGTGCTGCACCCCCTACTGGGTTTATTAAGTGCCCAACTTCCTAGCATCCTCCTCCTGGCTGCAACTTCTAAGCAGCTTCATTCTTTAACTATACAGGTACCAGTGTAGTTGGCCCTAGAAGCTGACTTTGATTTGTGGCCCAGTGGAGGATTTGCATAAGAGTGCAGCATCCACTTGGTAGTTGGTGGCTTCTTCCATTTATGGTTGGGAGAAGACTTGTGTTCCCTCCTCAAAAAATTGTTTGTTCTCCTTTGGCAGGGGTTCCCCATCCTTCTTTTCTGATGTGAGTTGGGTTGGAGTTGCTGATCTGGACCCCAAGGCTGGTCCCTCAACTATTGTATATGGGAAGTGGGCTGTCAGCTATCTTCCTAAGATGACTCCCAGCCATCACATCAGCTGATGTCACATCAGCTGCAGAGTTCTCTTTGGCCTATTTGGGAACAAAGCCAGAATCTGTCCACCACTCAAAAGCACAGAGAGCAGATGACACTACACCACTCCACTGGGAAAGCATTCAGAAACTCGGCAAACCAATATAGAAGACGGCTGGTTTCAAAGAGATCAAAACCTCGAAACTGCCAAATGAACTCCACAAACAATAAAAACAAATGATAAAATCTCTCAAAACTAGTGCGAGGCTTGTTAGCACTACTGGCATTACCAAGTGCCAGGAAACTACAGAATGATGAGGATGGGAATTTTTTTTATTAAGACAAGACCTCTCACAGGAAGATGGAGAAAAGCTAAAGCTAAACTTCGATGAAGTAAAATGTCTCGGTGGAAATAGAAATGAAGAAGAAAGAAAAAAACTTTCTAGAAGATGATAGGGACTGGAAAACCTGTGAAATTGTGCATAAAAACAAAGCAACAAAATCATCAGTGGAAGGGGAAGTAAAGGACAGAGAGGGAACATGTTCCTGGAAATTTTATATACTGTATTAACATAGATGGAGGGAGGTAAAAAATGCAAGAACTAAAATATATAATTCAGCTTATGGTCCCAAATATTGTCACACTAACTGAGACAAAACTTGAAGAAAATATTTTATGTGAGGTCATATTCCCAAGAGGCTGCTCTTGATGGGGCTTTGCGCAGGCTGGATCTTTATACGGCACTCCTTATTGGGCCTGTCTCTGTTTCATTGCCTCAGTGCTAAACTTTTTTTCTGGGTGGTTTTGATCACCTTTCTGTTCTTTGCAGGTCTATTCCATCCTCTGCTTGCAATCTTGTCTGCCTATTGACTACCTGAGTGGGTATTGAGGTTCGTACTTTGCTCCCACGTGGATTGTACTGTTGTTTTTTCCTTTTTGTAAGGAAATAGCTTAAGGAGATAGAGAGTTAACCCTCTTTAGAAATCTCTCTTGGAATGTAATGAAACGTGTCTTTCAACACCGTCCTTCTCTTCCTCCCATAGTGTTCGGGGATTCTTACTTGGGTGGTGTGTGAATGACTGGCCTTGCTGTCTTGGAGCTTGGGTTGTCTGGGCTGCTATCTGGTGTCAAGGGTGTGGAGGTAACTTGCAGTTGTACCTCGGCAAAGAAGGTTTACATAGTTGGAATCAGTGTTACAAATGTTGTCCAAGCAGTTGTATTGTTTTGGTACACTCTACCTTTCTACAGATTTTCACCATTGGCTACTTTGGTGGTGTAAATAGCCATAGACTTAACTTGTATCTATTGAGGAGGGCAGATTCTGGTACTGATTTCTGGTAGACAGTCATGATTTAAGAGCCTGGTGTGGTACATGGATTTAGAGGACTACAGGTAGGTAGCTTGGGGAGATACAGAGGGGACTTACAAAAACTAGGTGTTTCATTACATTCAGCACTGAATTTTTGGAAGTTGGCTCTAAAGACACAATAATAAAAAAAAGTGGCAAGATATTATCAGCATAATGAGTCTAGTGGCTTTTTGTTCTCTCAAGTCTTCTTACTTAACTTCATTTTGTACTAGATGTTCAAATGTCAGCAAGTAATTGTCACTTCTCTCTGGTATTTAGTAATATATTTTCTCTCTGCCTTATTCTGGTTAAAAATGAGGCATAATCTTTATGAAGCATTACCTTCCCTGAACCTGGTCGCTTCTTTGACATGTCACAAAATTTGTCTCTTTAGCTTTAAGTAGTTGTTGCTTCTTTTTGGAGTCCATTATTTTCCCGCTTGATTTCAGGGTGGCTGAAAGCACTTTTATATTTCATTAACTTTGATTTGTATGAAGTTTTCTATGAATGAATAACTTGCACAAATGTAGCACCTGTACAACTTCTCTAAATATCCAGACTTGTGCCCATGTGTTAATTTTTATCTATAAAATATTCACCCAGTTGCTTCCATTCTGTCACTGGTTCTCTTGTGTTTTATAAGTTGTTAATATCAAGTGAAATGTAAAGTGTTCCTTGTCACAGAATAGTGCTTACTGTTTTTGTTGATGCTGCCACATGCCAGCTGTCTGGTGTAGAGGTAAGGAGGATCTTATAGCGATTACTTAGAGTGCTGCTTGGTGATCCCTGTGATGCTAATAGCACTTAGGATGGGGTTTGAATTTATATCATTAAGCCTTTTGTAGGTCATTCCAGGCTGGATTGAGTATTTTCCAGTGTCTTTCTTGCAGCACTATGATTAGACAGAGACATCTGAAATGTTCCCTATTGCACTGATGCAGTATGTTAACCTGCCCTGACTCTGCATGAACCTGGCCATGGAAGCTTTTCAAATACATTCAAAGTCTAATTTATTGTTTTTTTTTTACTAAATATGCATCTGATGGGGGTGAACTTGCTCCTTGAAATTGACTGTGGTGGTTGATATTTAGTAACTTGCAGATCCATCTGGGCATTATTCCTGTGTAAGGGATACAAAAAGCAAGACAGGTAAGAGTGGTGTTGTTTATTGTGGTGATAGTACACATGTGGCATCTATAGCATTGTACCGTAGTAATAAATGGTGACAAGTGGTGGTAATAGCAAGACTGGGTTAATATATATCTATGGATTTACTCCCTTTGGGAGTATGAGCCACAGGAAGAGCTTTGAGATGGGTTTCCAATTGTGTATTCTGACTATACCTTTTGAGATAAAATGTGTAGTCTTTTTCAGGGACTAGTTTAGCTCAGGTTTTCCCAATAGATTTCTTTAAAATAAACCTAAGGGTCCTATATTGTCTGTTCTTTCACTGTATAATACTTCCTCTTTCCCACCCCACCCTTCCTATCTCTCCTCTTCTCTCTTATCATCCCTTATATTTGTGTTTTACAATTTCTGTTCCCTTTTCCCTGCCCTTCCTTTCCACACCCGTCTTCTTTCCCTCTTCCTGTCTCACTTAAAAAGGTAAGAGCATAGTGTTGATCTACTGTTTTTATATAGTGGCTTCCATTAAAGTAGGCATGAATTGTCACAATATTCTGCCAACATGCAACATTGTCCCTTTCTAGAGCAAATATTGAAGCAACAGTCAATTGACTCTGGGAGTTCGGACGGCCGGAGGAGAAAGACTGGGTATTGGAGGGGATCTACAGGTATTGTTACATGCAACATATTGACCAATGCTTGCATCATTTACACGCCTTAACAAGATTGTGGTGTGGATATCACTGTTCACAGTGACAGCTCTTGGTTATATTCTCTTATGCAAGGTCCAAATAATTTTAAATTAAAAGGCTGTGGGGGGTTGATTTCTTACTCTTTCTGCAAATTAAGATTTATACAGGGACTTGAGAATTTTGTGGAGCTTATTAAGTTGTATAAAAGAAACTTGATTATTCCTCTTGGTGTCTTAGAGTACACAGTAAAATTAATCAATAAATATTCATACATACGAATACCTTGCATTCCCTGTACATATATATTAGTGATCCATTAGCCACAATCGCTTCAGTGTCTAAAACATAGAAGAATAACCTTGATAATGTGCATGGTAGACAGTTAGTACTTAAGTGACTATGCACTTGAGCTGTTAATGAGGAATATATAACTCCTCAGACTTTATCTTTTAACGCTTTAAATTTATTGCTTTACACCACCTGAAAATGCTACATCAAATAAATTAGATGTATTATTTTAAATGCCACTTTTGTGGTGATGTGTTCACTCGGTGTTAGGTGTAAATTTATGAGAAGGGGTTTGAAGAGCTTCCCATTTTGAAGCCTGTGCTAGCGATCAGGCTAGCTAGACTATCATGGTAAGTACAGTGTACAGTACAACATTAAGCTTTGTGGAAATATTTTAATTGTACAGCCATAAAATGTCCGGTAAATTCCATGTTTTATGTAATACAAGTTGTGTACAATAAACCAAACAGTAGTTTGTTTACTTCAGTTCACTGAACAATAAATGACTAAATCTTACAGTTACAGTCGACTTCAGGTTGTACCTGGGGATGTATTCCCCGACACCTTGCACACACGCAAACCACTTTTTGGTGTAGGATTTGGCCTTTAAACGACCTACATTATAAGACCAAGCTTTTTTATTTTTTTTGTAATTGATAAAGGTAATGGTATGTTCTTTTCTGTATTGTACTTCCAAATGTTAAGGTTTATTAATGCAGTACAGTACAGTACAAAATTAATGAATGTACTGCTTATCTGTGTAATTTTTCTGTGTAAGAAATCTAATCTGTGTAAGGTTATAAAATAATTTATAATCAAAATGTATTTGAAAATATTATTAAAGCAGAACAGACAGAGCAAATGAGTAAATGAGCAGAAAAATGAAAGAACATTAGTCAGAAATCAAGAATGTCTTGAAGAAGGAAATAAGGAAGAGAAAGGTGGTAAAAGGGCAAGTGAGAGTGTTAAAAGATAAACTTGGGGAGAATGGTAAATGATGAAGACCAAGTTGGTGGAGAGAATATTTTGAAGGTCTGGTCAATAGTGGTGATGAAAGATGGTAATGTGAACAAGATTTGGATTTGAATATGTGAAAAGAAAGAGTTAAAGATGGAATGACAGCTTATATATCTATGGAAGAAGGAAGTACTTCAAAGAAGAAGCTGAAATGTGGAACAATTATAGGTATTGAGGAGGAATAGTATATTCAGAACTTGTTAAATGTTGTGGGGGAAAAGAGATGAAGTGGGTGTGGAGAATTTGACAGGTGGTCTGAAATAGTGGTGATGTACCTAAAGATTGGAAACTAACTGTGAATGTACCACTGTTCAGAAATGAAGGAGAATGTATCGAGTATAAGAACTTATTTCCAGTTATTGGAGACATGAAACCAGTTAGTTTTACCGAGACCTCTAAACCAACGATTGATTGACCCTCCCCAAGATCCAATCTGCACCAGTCAACTAAGTTCCAGATACTGTACCTATTTGCTTTTGTGTAAACAGACATATCGGGTATAAGGAAACATGGCCAAACATCTCGCCCTGTCTGGGAATAGAACTCTGATCCAGTTGGTTGTGACCAATTATGCTCACTACTGTGCTGAAGGTCACCTGTTAGAGTACTACAATGAGGCATTAGTTGATTAAGCATAGTAAGCAAAGTGTAAATCAGGATTGTGATTGGATGAGTGAAAGAAATTACCAATAAGTGTTTCACTGATGAACAAGATGGGTTCTGTGGTGAAAGATGGTGTGGTATTTGCATTGATAGAGCTTAGAGAAGACACGTGAGAAAAATTGGGAATTGTATATGGCCATTTGTGGTCTTGGAAAAATGACAAAATTAATGAAGGAGGGCTGGAAAGTAAAAAGTTTGTTTGGAGTTGGCCGAGTTCTGTTAAATGATGTAAAAGGTTTAGTGTAGAAAGTGTGGAAAATAAGGTTAATGGGTTAATATGCAACTTGCTCGATATAAGAAAGGAAAAGAAAGTAATTGTTCAATTGTATAAGTCTCTGGTGTGCTTCCACCTAGATTATTGCATCCAGGCATGGAGACCTCATCTTCAGAAAGACATAGCTGCTGTGGAGAAGGTGCAACACCGGGCAACAAAAATCATCCCAGAGCTTAGTCATCTCCCGTATCAGGTACGGTTGAGGTCCACTGGGCTAACCACACTACAAACCAGGCATGATAGGGTGGATCTCATCAAAACCTTTAAAATACTAAACAATTTGGAGGATATCAATCCAGACAAATTTTTCAAAAGGTCAGATGTAAAACAAACGAGGAGCAGTTGATTTAAGCTAGACAAGCCACAATGTAGTACAGAAAACAGGAGATCCTTTTTCACCCATAGGATTATAAACCCATGGAACTGCCTACCCGCTGAAGCCGTAAACGCCAAAACTCTGCTGGGTTTTAAAATACAGCTGGAAAAAATCAATTGGGCAAATGTGGGGACCTTTCACAAGCTACCAGCTTCCTGTCCTCATCAAGGCCACTAGTATTAGTGGCCTACGGTAAATTCAGGTAAATCTTAATGTCAATGTGCCAAAGTTGAGCTCAATCTCATCATCAAGGGAGAATGTTTGCTGTGACTCCAGAGGACGTATAAAAACCAACCACACACTCCATGCAATAATTGACATCATATGGATTGCTATTTAAAGTTCTGCAGATTATTTTATAGTTACCCATTATCTGATTGCTCCTGGATGGCAGTCAGGTCATACTACAGTCAAATGGGTAGGCCGCCTTGCTTTGTGCCTGGTACCTGTCCATGCTGACTGTGCTGCTGCTGTGGAGCCTGGTTTAGTTAACCCTTACAGTGGTGGCAGTCAGGTTGATTCACGGGGTAATGCGGTTATTGTCATGTGACGATTTAAACATTTATTGTCTGGGTTTTACATGTATGATGCAAATAAGGGTATAATAGCTCTCTGTGGGTGTAATGGATTTACCTTGACCCATAAAAGAGTCCTGCTAACATTTCATGGTTACATTACTATGTGAATGTGGTTATTGTCATGAATATTAATAGGTGAATGTAGTCATAATTGTATAAAATTCCATCATAATTACATATGTATACCAATGATGGTCATAAGGTTTTCACAACTCCGTATGGTTATAGTGAAGTATACCGGGTAAACCAATCATCAATCTAACCATTATCATGCGTTATGTGTTAAGAGAGATGATGATAATTATTGAGGAGAGAAATGGGCTTTTAATATTACTGAAAATCTGACTTTTAATTACAATTTTGGAAAAGGTATTACAGTATAGTCTTGGTACCAGTTACTTGAAGCTACATGCAAACTTGTGTTATTTTAATGTAAATTCAACAAAGTGTAAAAATTGTTGCTGCATAGATTGTTACATAAAATACAGCTGTATAGAACTGGGAGTCGACTGTAATGTATAGTACCTACTTTCTTTTATAAACACTTTGATGTACTAGTTTTAAAGTCATAATCAGAACTTGATTTGTATAGGAAGTACAGTAAATAAAATATTTGATTTAATAAACCTGCTATAATTTTCTCCCTATGCATTACTGGCTCATAAATGTATATTATTAATATAGACTTATTAATGTTGATTATTGCTGCATAGAAAAGAGAAGTGACGTATCTAGGTAGATGCTTTTAGTTGATACAGCTTTGAACTGATTTGTGATTATAACAAAACAAGTTAGTTTTTATAATACGTAGTCTCTTCTAGTTAACTGAGCCCTACATCATTTTCCTGTGTTTCATTGTGATCTTTGTTTTGTCTTAATGTTTTTTGTGTTCTTTGTTTTTTGTTTATTGCTTTGTTTTGCTTATTCTAGTTTTGCCTATATTTTGTAAAATACTTATGGTTAATATTATTGTAACTTTTCCAATCATTGTTCATTATTTTCAGATCCTAATGGAGGTCCTGTCTACCAACTTGTCTCGGTGCCATTAAGCAACGACATTGCTTCTATCTTTGAACTTGAATCTACTACCCTTATAAGGGGTGACTCCATGGTGCCACAGTCTTCCTATGTAAGGCTACGACACCTGTGCACCTCCACCTGGGTACACTCTACCTCCATACCTATTGATAAGGAGGAGGATAAGCCTGTTATGTCTAAGGTACGTAATGGTACCAAAATGTACTCATGGAAACTATGAATTCTTATGGACATGTCTGTACCTTTTGTTTGTAATCATTTAGTTTCTCATAATAAACAGCTTTTAGGCACAGATTAGTAGTGTTGATTAGCCGTGGAACTTTTATTCCTAACTATTCTTCTTTCTACTTGATGATTTGTTATATATCACCGACCTTGTGTGTTCACAGTGTATTATTGAACTAAAACTTGCCATGTTGGTCAGTTGGCACCTATTTTGCTTCTTTAGAGATATCTTCTGAGAGATACTTGGTTTCCTCCTCTACGAGCCTTCTCACTTTGAGATTTCTTATGGCGTGTCAATAGGAAGTTGATGTACCTAACTGTTGCTGTGTGTGTGGGGCACCCGTTACTCGTGTAACGGGTAGTTGCTAGGAATGTATTTGTCTAGTTATTATTTCTTATCCATAGCTTCATATGCCTTTGCTCTTTATCCACTTGTCAGACTTCAGTTCTCAATTTACCAACAACACTTCCACTGGTGGAAGGCACATTGGGGATGAGGGAGCAAGGAGCAAATGGGGTGAAGAGGGGAAGGATGACAGTGGGTGGACAAGGGGAGGGCTGAAGGGAGGCGACCAAGAGGATGGGTGGCAGGTGACGAGGGGGAACGGGTGGAAAAAGAGAGGGTTGCAGCTGTCTACCCCTTCTATCTATATAACTATAAGAGAGAATGTTTGTCTAAAGTTTTAGGCCAGATTCTTGGGGCTAGCCTTACACAAATTGTTGGAGGGAATGGTCTGGGGTATGGGTTGAACATAGGCTGGCTGGGGTCACTAGAATTCAAATGGCAATAGTGTGTGCGTGTCACATTCAGACCCTAATGATGATTTTTGGCACTGCCTTTCCCCAATCCTTTCTAGCTACTCACTATTTTGAAAACAAACATTTCAAAACATTTTTGGGGAAGAACCTTGTCGGACATTTTGACACTAAATTACTAACACCTAACATGCCAAGCTAAAATGGTTATATTAAGAACATACTAACGGTACTAACCACTAACTTCATTAGAAGAAAATGGGTTTCAGTGACTTTTCAGAGAGAATGGGAGGTTCACCACGTCACCAAAATACTGTAACGTAGGCTGCTTTGGTCCGTGGCTCTTTGGAGCTGGGTACTTTGGTCCATGGCTCTCTGGAGCCATGAATTTTTTTTTTTGGAAGGTATTGTTTTTGTTGGCCTTGGCCTCTGGGGGTCATGTATTTATGAGCTTTATGCTCATCTCTGGTGTCGGGGGTTTTGTTTCTTTGGTCCTGGTGGTCGTTTTGTTTGTTTGCAGCCGTCTCCTTCTTTTCTGGCGAAGAATGAGACAGCAGGCTTCCGAAGAGGTCCGTTGGTTGTGGATGCTTGGTTTGTTAGGCCAGATGTGCATCACGTTATGTGTCCAGTAACTGCTTTAGTCCACTACCTGTGGGCCACTGGTTCTGTGTCAGTGGACATGCTCTGGGTTGATCCGGTTTCCCTGGTTCCATGTTCAGGGCTCATGTTTCTCAGGTTGTCCGCAGAGTCGTTAAGTCTAGTCAGCCTGCGGTCTACTCTCCCGCCCATTGTTTGAAAGTATGCAGCTCTTTTGGCTATCTTTGGTAATATGTCATGGGACGATATTTGGATGCGGGGGTTTTGGAGGTCGGACAGGGTCCTGGCTGCCAGGTATCTAGTGAATGTCCCAGTTCCTCTGCAGCCTTGTATGGTCTTGGGATGCCTGTCGCGATCGTCTGTATTTTCCTCGCTTTGAGACCTGCAGTGCTGCTGCCTTCTTGGTAAGTCTCTGTTTGCCTTCTCTGTGGGTAGTTAGCTTCAGGAAGCCAATGACACATTCCACAGAAAATCAGCATTGAATGTAATGAAACACCAGTTTCTGGGTGAGCCCTAGAGGCTCCCTGACACCCAAGACAAGACATGGATGATGGGAAGAGAGAAGGTGGGAAAAGAGGGGAGAGGGTAGAGAGATGGGGAAGGTGATGGAGAGGAAAGGGGGAAGAGGGAGAAATGGGGAGTGAAGAAGCATAAAAAAGTAGGGAACAAGGGGAAAGAGAATAGAGGGAGAAGGAAAGAAGATTGAAGATGTGGGGAGAGAGGGAAAAGATGGATGGTATGCGGGGATAAGGGACGGGAATGACGGTCTATCCTGCACACTGCTGAGTACCCCTCCTGGTAATTTATATATGGTATAACATCTCTTTATTTAGGTTGGGTGTGCTCCAATCAAAGAAGATAAGGAAGCTTTTTCGTTAGTTCCGGTTCATGCCAAAGAAGTAAGAGATCTAGATTTTGCTAATGATGCTAGTGAAGTCTTGGCCAAGCATGCAAAGAAGCTAGAAAAAGGATCTATCACACAAACTGAAAGACGGTAAGAAATATTCCATACAATGTATTATAACTATATTAAAATTCCTTAATATGTCCAATAAATTTATTCTTCTGTAATACTTTACCTAATTTGTTTACAGTCGACCTTTATATAAAATTAGTAATGTTCCAGGAATGTAAAGGTGCAGAATAAGGGAAATATGATAATGTAATTTATTTTTTGATGTGTTAGCAGTTAAGCATATAATCTAAATCTTAATATATGTCTTGCCCTTGTTAGGCCCCATCTAGATTATGCAGTTCAGTTTTGAGTACTGTGCCATAGAATGCACATAAATTCACTTCATCAGAAGTGAATCATTCAGAACCTTGTATACCTCATATGTCAGACCAATACTGGAATATGCGGCTCCAGCGTGGAGTCCACATCTAGTCAAACACAAAGCGAAGTTAGAAGAGGTTCAGAGGTATGCCACCAGGCTAGTCCTCGAGCTGAGAGTTAGAGTTCGCGTAACACGGGTGGTAGACAAACAAGGGGACACAGGTGGAGACCGAGTACCCAAATGAGCCACAGGGATGTTAGAAAGAACTTTTTCAGTGTCAGAGTGGTTAACAGATGGAATGCATTAAGCAGTGATGTGGTGGAGGCTGACTCCATACACAGTTTCAAATGTAGATATGATAGAGCCCAGTAGACTCAGGAACCTGTACACCATGTGTGGAAAATGGCTAATATAGTTCCACTCTACAAAAAGTGGCAGCAGGAAGGACCCCCTCAGTTATAGACCTGTATTGTTGACAAGTGTAATAGTCAAAATATTGGAAAAAATAATTAAAACAAAATGGGTAGAACACCTGGAGACAAACGATGTAATATTAGATCGTCAGTAAGGTTTTCGATCTGGAAAATCCTGTGTAACAAATTTACTTGGTTTCTATGATCGAGCCACAGAGATTTTACAGGAAAGAGAAGGTTGGGTTGACTGCATCTATTTGGACCTAAAAAAAAAAGGCTTTCGACAGAGTTCCACATAAGAGGTTGTTCTGGAATCTGGATTGCATTGAAGGAGTGACAGGTAAGCTGCCAACATGGATGAAAAATTTTCTGACTGATAGAAAAATGAGGGCAGTAATAAGAGGAAGTGTATCGGACTGGAGAAGTGTCACAAGCAGAGTATCACAGGGTTCAGTTCTTGCACCGGTGATGTTCATTGTCTACATAAACGATCTACCAGATGGAATACAGGATTATATGAACATGTTTGCTGATGATGCTAAGATAATAGGGAAGATAAGTAATTTAGATGATTGTCATGCCTTTTAAGAAGGCCCGGACAGAATAAGTATATGGAGCACCACTTGGCAAATGGAATTTAATGTAAATAAATGACATATAATGGAATGTGGAATATGTGAACATGGACCCCCACACAACCTATAAATTATGTGAGAAATCTTTAAAGAAGTCAGATAAAGAAAAGGATCTAGGGGTGATTCTAGATAGAAAACTATCACCAGAGGACCACATTAAGAACATTGTGTGAGGGGCCTATGCTACACTTTCTTACTTTATAATTGCTTTTAAATACACAGATAGGGAAATACTAAAGAAATTGTTCGCGACTTTTGTTAGAACAAAGCTGGAATATGCAGTGGTTGTATGGTGCCCATATCTAAAGCAGCACATCAACAAACTGGAAAAGGTGCAAATACATGCCACTAAGTGGCTCCCAGAACTGAAAGGCAAGAGCTACGAGGAGAGGTTAGAGGCATTAAATATGCCAAAACTAGAAGACAGAAGAAAAAGGGGTGATATGATCACTACGTACAAAATAGTAACCGGAATTGATAAAATTGATAGGGAAGATTTCCTGAGACCTGGAACTTCAAAAACTAGAGGTCATAGATTTAAAATAGCTAAGCACAGATGCCGAAGAAATATATGAAAATTCACTTTCGTAAACAGAGTGGTAGACGGTTTGAACAAGTTAGGTGAGGTGGTGGTGGAGGCCAAGACTGTCAGTAGTTTCAAAGCGTTATATGACAGAGTGCTGGGAAGACGGGACACTACGAGCGTAGCTCTCATCCTGTAACTACACTTAGGTAATTACACACACTGTATATATAATGTATAGTATAATATATAATACAGTACCATACAGTACTGTATCTTCAAATATATAATGTTTACATAAGATACAGTGCTGTACACAGCTGTATCTTCAAATATATTATTCCTGAAAATTTACATAACCTAATGTTGACAGATTGGGATTTATCTAATAAAATTGGGATCTGTCTACATTTCTTCCCAAAACTTAAAGAGCAAGTACATAAAGTACATACTATTGCAGTTTTAGCATAAATACAATATCAGTGTAATAATGTTTTATTTTGCAGATCACTAATGTTGTTGCTGTTAGATCTTGTGTATTTTACTGCTGAGAAAGAGCATGAGCAAAACAAGAGTGAGCCATTAGCATTGGTTCTAGAAGTTACCAATCCAAATAGAGATCGGCAGAAACTCCTTAGGGAACAAAGTATCTTAAAACAGGTGAGTTAACATTTGTCCTGATACCGTGTATGTATGGGATTACTTTTTTATTTTTCTGTGATGAGCAGTAAATATAAACTATACCCTTTTAGTTCGTGTCATGTAAATACTATATGTGATGAATTTATTATGTGCATTGAATTAATAAATGTGGATAAAAAGAGTAGTGAAAGGTTTGGCTTTCTAGAGTGCAAATTATCAGCAACTGTTTGTTTATTAAACGCCCAACCCCTTGGGGTGGACGGTAGAGCGACGGTCTCGCTTCATGCATGACAGCATTCAGTCCCCGACCGTCCAAGTGGTTGGTGTCATTCCTATTCCCCTAGGCTGTATTTGTAATTTCCTTTCAGATCTGCAGATTAATTTATAATAATCTAATTTCCATTTTAGATATTTAAGATTCTTCAAGCACCATTCACCGAGACTCAGGGAGGAGATGGCCCTCTTCTGCGGATTGATGAATTAAATGATCCCCGTCATTCAGCATACAAGACTATTTTTCGCCTCTGTTATAGACTTTTAAGACTTGCTCAACAAGGGTACAGAAAGAACCAGGTGAGAATTCGTGGAGAATTATTTGGATTTCTAGAAAATTTTCTAAAATGTATAATTACTATACCACTATTTAAATTTCATATTGTGTGTATTATTTGCAGTATGTAATATGTTAGCATCTTTGACAGTGCTATTCATCGGCTGTGTACTGGCCTTTCTCAGTAGCTTCCCAAAGCTTAGGGCACTAACATCTCTGAGTTGTATGTATGTATTTGTAATCATTATATCCCCTAATCACTTTTATCATTGTAAAAGTATGATGTAGGCTGTTGTTTTGTAGTTGGTTCTACTATTTGCTGGTATATAGCAAATCTGTCACACAAGATTTGTGACAAGAAGTCATTTGTGTTTGTTTATTTAGACTGCTTCCTGGGAAGCTCTTCGGTATAATTGTATTTATCCACACTTTTTCATTTTGGGTGCTGTAAGTTGAAGTCACCAAGCAAGTTGATGTTTGGGGCAGGGTTGGGGAGGTTTTCTAAGCAGTATTCTATTTTTGTAAGTTGGTCTTTAAACTTTTGAGGATTTGCATCTGGTGATTTATATATCAGCACAATCACCCCATTTAGAATGTCTGTTTCCATTATCAGCATTTCCAGCATATCATGTGGTGTTTAGCAGCTGTGTGCAGGGGTGTGTGTGTATGATGTACAGGCTGACCTCTCCCTGTAGCCTATGTTTTCTATCACATCTGAAAGGATTGAATTATGGTGTCCATATCTCATTGTCATAATAGTCATTTGTGTGAGTTTCAGATAAAGATGCAAATATTGCATTTGCCTCATTCAGGATGCCAGTTATTAAGTGGACTTTGTTTTGCATGTTTTGATGTCTTGTATGTTGGCAAATGCAAAAGATGTTATCATATATATATGAAAGTGCTGGGTATTTTACATTGTGTTAATATCTGTGGTTCTAGTAGGGGTGCCACATTGTGCCCTACAGCGGTTCATCACCACTACCTGCATGTCACCAGATCTGTCCTGATGGATTCCTGAATTATTGATCCTGTTTCCTTGGTTGTCTATTTCAAGGCTCGCATGTGACAGGGTGTCCCCAGCGTCATTAAGTCTAACCAGCCTGTGGTCCACCCTTGGGGCCCATGACGTTCGTAAATATGGAGATTTGACTGTATTCTTCTCTAATATTCAGGCTCAGGAGTTTGGGTATTTTAACAGTGTCATAACAGTCTGGTATTTGGTTAATGTTTCTGGGCCCAGTCTGTTGTGTGTGGCTTTGGGCTTTGTTGCCTGACCTGGTTTCTCTTTTTTCATCTTAATTGCCTACCACCTTTCCTCCTACCTGGTAAGTACCTTTTCTGTTCTCTGTGTTTAGATTAGCTGCATGGAGTGACAAGAGGCTCCCTCCTGAAATCTAGCACTGAATGTAATGAAGCACCAATTTGTTCAAGAGTCCCAGGGGCTCCTTGCCTTGCTTCCCGCTCTTCAGATTCGTCGGTTCATTGTGGGTTTGTTCATCAGGCCCAGAACTGACTTAGGGGAGGCAGCTGGGAGGTGGGGCAGGCTGATTGGTGGTGGTGGCGGTGGTAATGGTGCTTACATATTTTGAGCTCGTTTTAGTGACGTCTTTATCCCAGTGTGACTCGTTTGTGCCATTTGCCTATTCCAAGGCTTTGTTTTCTGTAAACCCTCCAGTTGTCTGTAAAGATGCACTAACTTTCTGGAGGCTTTTACTGGTGAGGTGAGGCATTGTCACCTGTTCTCGGTGCATCTGTAAGGGGGCGAGGATCTGGTTTCTCCAGAAATTGATGTTTTATTACATTCAATGCTTGGGTTTTAGTGGTCCAACAGGGTGTCAGCTGTTTGTTACTTATTGCATGTTGTGTCCTTGCTGATGTTGTTGGTACTTTGGGGGATGATGCAATGCTGATTTTGACTCTTCCCTGAACCATGGTTTTCTTTCTTCTTTTATCATGGGTTAGCCCTCTTGAATCTTTGTTCCTATTTATCATCTTTTATTCCCTAGCAACAAAATAGTTCATCCGAGACAATGTTTACAGTTACTGTACTAGTAATTCCAGAAAGTTATTCAATTGGGACTAGTTCTGAATTGAAGTGTTGAATATAATGAAGGGCCATTGTTTAGTAGGTTTGTTAGTAGTTCTCTGTCCTGCCCTGTTGCCCTGTTGAGGTCTGAGGTCTAGACAACTTGAGTTGGATGGCAGACCTCGGCTGCTATCTGGTGTCTGGTGAGTTATGGCAGTGGTTGTTCATCAATTGCCAATTATCATTTACCTTATTTTTTTTTCTTGAAAGCAGTATTTTTGTTTCACTTAAGACTTTTTGAGCAGTTTCCTTTATATTGGATCTACTTTTGACTGCTACATTCCTCTCGTATTGGGCCTCGGCAGACCTTTGTAAGCCTCGGGCCTGGCATATTTGGGAGAGACTATGGTACTAGTGCTGTACTCTAAACTCCAGGGAGCTACTGAGGTTATATATGCACTCATGTATTTATGTATGTTCTCTGGAAAACATATGGAATGGATGATGGAAGATTCGAGAGGTATAGTGTACAGAGTGGTTACTTTCCTGACATCTCAGTAGTTCCAAGTTATAATCTTGCTCAGGAGGCAGTAACGTTTCCAGAATATAAACATCACTGGCTTGTCATAACACTTTGTAGATTCATAAATATCCAGCAAAATGAGAATGATTCATTTTCTTCATATTTGTTGTAGAAATTTAACTCCAGGTGGAAAGATAGGTTGACTTGTAGTTACTTCCTCAATCCCAGAATAGCCAACTTGGTTTTGATAATTGATGGAAGAAAATAGTAAATAGAATTTTTAAAGTTTTGGTCACGGTTAAAATAAAATATTAGAGTAATACATGCAGCAAATCTGATGGAATGAAAGTTGAGAAATCAGAAATGCCTAAGCTATGGAAATTTTGTTGTTGCAAAAGAATTGTGCAAAGATAGGAGAAACTTCTTTGGGTTTTAATATAGAGGACGATAGAAAGGTTAATGTCCTTGTCGCTCTTCTGTCTTATTGGTGGTGTCATTTTATTATGAAATTTACCCCCTTGGAGTTTGTAATATTTTTAATATGGAAGAATCAGTCGCCTCTCATCCATATAACAATGACAGTCTATTGGATGGGATTTTTGGGAGCTCTTCTTGAATATTATGCATGGCATTGGTTGCACAGATCGGTGTCATACTTGTATGAAAATGTTCTAAATTTATATAATTTAAGCACAAAACATGTAGGAATATGCCAAAAAGTTATGAAGTTTGGTCAGGTATAATATTATGTTTTATAGCATATCTCAGTTGATCATTGAGTTATTGTTTCTGTTAAGGTTGATTTATAGAGAGTGATTGAAGAATGAACATTATATTGATATGAATACTGTAATAGGAAGAGTTGAATAAAGGTTGTATAGATATGAGAAATATGAAATATATTGTGGTATATGAACAAGTATTTGGACAGGAGAATTCTAAGTACAAAGACTGCAGTATATGGATGAGATCTTCTAGAGCTGGCATATTTAACATTGAGAGAAATTTAAAAATATAAATATCTTTTAGGTAAATTGGTGTTATAATTTTTGTAATTAATTGAATCTTTGCAGGAACACATTGCTCAACACTTCGGTTTCATGCAAAAGCAAATTGGCATTGATATATTAGCCGAAGAAACTATTACTGCCTTGCTTCATAACAATCGTAAACTACTTGAGATCCATATTACTGCTACTGAAATTGAAACATTTGTTGGACTCGTTAGAAAAAATATGCACAAATGGGACTGGAGATTCCTGGATTACCTTAAGGTAAGTTTTGCTATTTAGTGTTTTTCTAAATAGGAATTATTTGAACAAATTCTGTGACTAGATTAGGGGCATATGTGATGAGCTGTTTATAGTTACAGGCATATTGGTGGTGAATCATTTATATTTTACTCCTAAATTGTGCATAACTTTTTGTTACTGGTCTGCTTTCCAGGTGTACATAACAAAAAAAATGTTAAGTACTGTAAACATGTGAGAATTTTAAATGTATATAAAAAACCAGCAATGAATATAATGAAACAACTGTAACTGGATGAGCCCCGGTGGCCTCTAAAGGTACCTCACTGAGATCTTTTCATGCAGGTGAGTCACATCAGATGCAGGAGATCTGTTTGGCTTAACAGGGACAAAAGCCAAAATCTGGCCACCTTAACAGAGATGCAGAGAGCAAGTAATAATTCGCCACCACATCAGGAAAGCATGCCGAAAGTCGATGAAGTTTTCAGACAACTAGAGGGTTAGCAAAAACAAAATCCTTGAAAAGACCAAACAACTCCACAAACGATTCACACAGGGAGAGAAACATTAAAAATTTGCACAAAACTCATTGTGCCAAATGCACCCACAAGGCAGCCCAGCTGCTTGTGTGCACAGTCATCTTCATTGCCAGTTCTGGAACTGATGAACAGCACACTGACAAACCAACTCCCTCTGGAAGGGAGTGACGGGGGGAGTCAAAGAGCCACCGGGGATCATCCAGGAAGAGGCACTCAATTTTCAACACGGGGGTTTCTGGGGAAACCCCTGGTGCCTTCCTGAAGCTAACTTAATACAGTGAACAAAAATGTGGCTTACCAGGCTGGAAGAGGAGAGGTGGCATACACTACAATGAAGAAGAGAATCCAAGGTGGGTGACATGGCCCAAGGCAACACATGACTGATGGGGACCAGGGACATTAACCAAATACTGGTCTGCCAGAATCCTGTTAGAATGCCATAATCCCCTACTCGATTATTAGCCCTAGACATGTTGGATAAGACTGGCCAATGCAGCATACTTCCAAACGTCATGTATTCCAATGGTGAACTGAAGACTGACTAGATTTGATGACATTGTGGACAACCTGGGAAATACAATCCTTGGAACAGGGGACCTTTGGAACAAGGTCATCCAATAAGGTGTCCACCAAGGCAGAACTGGTGACCTGCAGGTAGCGGTGAAGAGCTGCTACTGGACACAAGAAGTCGTGCACCCCCACCCAGACTAACCACGCATCAGACACCAACGGATGCCTCTGAAAGTTAGCCGACTCATTCTTTGCCAGAAAAGGAAAAGGCTGCTAATGAACAAAACTGCCCAATAAGGCCAAAGTAATAAAATCCCCTCCTCTGTATAAGAGCCTGAAGCTCACCAACTCTGCAGATGGAAATGAAAGCCAAACACACAGCTTTGATAAAAATATTAAAATACAAAGGGTAAATGTAGAAGAAGGCAAGGAGAGGAAGACTAACAGCCTGGTCAAGAGACCAGGATGGGGCAAGAGCAACACAAGTTGCCAGAGGTGAAAAAACGCATGACAATTGGTGTCATTGTGGATTGGTGTTGAGGGAGAGTTAAAGTTCAATGCAAGCAACAGTAGCTATGCCAATGCTGAGCAATAACAAGCAGCAGTATTAGGCATGATATTTTGATCTAAAAATAACTAAGACAAAAAGTACAGAACAGTCTTAACCAAAACCAAAGAAAGACAACAATGAGACAGGTAGTTGTGAAACGTGTACCAGGCAATCTCCTACTGTGGTGGTGAGGAAAGATGCAGGTGGGACACCAACAAATCAGCCACCCACTCACTATACAAATGTCAATAGACACACGTCAAAAACTCCTGATATGTAAAGCAGAGGAAAAAGTCGAACCAGAGAAGTGGATCTTCGGGACGATCTGCTGAAAGAGACAGAGCCTTGGAAAACTCCCAGATTTGGACACCAGGATAGAAGCACTGGAAACAAGGCTGGCCTGGCCACCAAGGAGCCAGAAGGATCACCCTCCCTGATTACAACTCCAGAATAGACAGAACCTGGCGCAACAATTGAATCAGGTGAGAAAGGTAATTGCACCTCCACCTTGACCAGTCCAGTTGAAAAGCATCCAGTGCAAGAACCTCGCAATCAGGGAATAGAGACGCATAGGAAGGCACCAGTTTCATGTTGATGCGTCTCAACGTGAAACTGGAACCACTGGGCAGCAGTCAGAGTGGAGTTGGAACACGCAGCCCGGAAGAAGCGGAATCCTTCTCAAGGCATGCCACACAGCTGCAAATTTGCATACCATACTGAGCATCTGAAGAAATTGGCCCATTTACTTAGTGGCCTGATGATCACTGATCATGACGCTCTTAACCCATGCTCGATATTACCATAAATACATAGTGATGGGGCAAGAAGCACAGAATGGAACCTCATAAAGCCCAAAGAGGAAGCCGGCAAGCAAAGAGTGGACGAAGGGCAGGTGGGGTCTGAACCTACTGGTCCTGTGAGCAGTGAAACGGACAGAACTGGAGAAACTGGAACCACACCCAGAGCCAAATTCTTTCCAGGGAAAAGACAATGCAGGCAAAGTTGAGGCTCGCACACATCCACTTGACTAACCGCCGGGTTACCTGGTGCCAATCCAACATCAGTTGGCGACAAAGCTGCAAATGGCTAAAAGCTACAGAGACAGGGACAGAGAAGTCAACCAAGAGTCTCAAACGAGGCCCAGCCAAGTCCGAATCTGGAATGAAACAAACTGGGACTTCTGCCATTTAACCGGGAACCTGAATCTGGTGAGCTGGGAAAAAAAACAGATTAATGCACAATGAATCAAAGAACCAACTCAAGACTGACTGGAACCAGGAGCATTGACCATATACTGAGCCACCAAGACCTTGTTAGCCCTCCAAAACATCTGACCCTCTATATCCCCCCCTGTATGTTTATACAGTATTGGGTACAAGCCTGCAGCTCAGGCTTGTACCCAAGCCTGAGCTGCATGTTCACACTCACTCCAAGCATTTCTCCTTTTACCATAAGTGAAATGGGTGTTTTGACTCACATGTAGTGTTGCATGGCTTGACTTCTCTCATACACTGTTACATCACATTAATGTGATTTCATTGTGTATATAACATGTATTTCATAGTGCCACTGCTCCCAGCATCCCTCTGAAGGGGGCCAGGTTCTGGCTCGTGGTCCCATGTAGGCCATAATGGCACCTTGTAGTATGGCACTATATTGGTATAGTAGCTTCAGGGAGCCACCGGGGCTCACCAGGAAATTGGCATTTCATTTCTTTCAATGCTGGTTTTTTCTAAGCTAATATCTCACACCTGTGAATATAGTATATAAGACACTGCTGATAATTATGTAATTTTTCAGGTCTTGTGCATTTCTAACAACCAAGCCATCCCACGGACACAAGAACTTATTTGTAAGAGCGTCTTCAGTGAGAAAAACAAGGATATTTTAATTGAGACAAGGTAAAATTGTATACAACTTTATTGAGACATATGTATTGAATATATGTTTTCTTGTAGTTCATTGATATAGACAACATATTTGTTTTGGCTTTAATGACCGGGCCATGAAAGGCAGAAGACTAGCATACAGTATCAACAGTGTTAACTTATTGCAGAAAGGAAGGCACAAATATTTGTTTGAGCTTGATTGGAAGGGAAAACAATCAGTTGTTTTCAAAATCACTTCAATCATTAGTTATCCTTAGCAAGAATTCTGTAGGGTATTGTCATGTATTTTTCTTGGTATGACTCCTTAATGGCCACCCGAGCTTAACTCTGGTATTCCGCCAAGACTTAGTGCAACACACCAGGCCTCCGAGACCCATCATAGTCTACCAGAAGCTAGGACCAGAAATTTGCTCACTTGACAAAATAAAGGGAGCAGGGGATCAAAAATAAAATACAGAACTGGGTACAATCATCCTGAAAGCATAGTTGCAATAAACAAGTGACTGCTTAAATGAAATTAGGCACCCCTAGGTAAGCAAGGCAAATGATCATTGCTGTGGAGTAAATACCCTGATTGTGGTGGGCCCAAGGACCTCCAAATGGCAGCCAAGATTAATTAAAACTCCAGACAGCCTCACCTCTCATTCTGGAGCTACTTACGTAAAACCCAAAACCCCACATTGAAGAAAGAAACAAAAAAAGGAACAAGGAGCCACTGGAGGCCACCAAAAAAACCAGCATTGAATGCAATGAAATGCCCCATTCTGGGAGAGCCTCGGTGGCTCCCTTAAGCTATTTTGCTGATGTAGCATCCCAATGCTGAACCACATCAACTATAAGCATCTTACTAGCTTACTAGAGTCCAAAGCTAAAACCTGACTCGCCCCTCCCCTAAACATGGACAGGTAGTTGATGAGTGATAGTAACAATCCTCAAGAAGGCACCCAGAAAGCAGACAAAGCAATTCAAAACAACTGCTTGGTTTGTGAAAACAAAGCACTGAAACTGTTTACAGACACAGCAAAAGAGTCCATCAAAATGAAATGGTTCACACAAAACTGGGTACGAAACAACTACCTTAGCGCACATGTACCAAGCCTTCAGCTGTCGGCAAAGCCAATGTTCCACACCCTGCTTTCAGTCCATTGATGATGGGCCATGAACTGATGCACCTGATGAAGGAAGGAAATCGGAGCCACTTGGGCTCGTCCATAAGGAGGCATTTCGTTACATTCAACACTGGTGTTTTGAGGAAGCCCCTTGGTGGCTTCCTAAAGCTAAATAATAGTAAGAGAAGAAGAAAAAGGAACTTACAGGAAGAAGGGAGTGGCAGCTACAATGTTAAAGAAGAAACAGTAGGTCAGGAAACCCAGCTCAGGTCAGTCTGTGATGAGTTAGAGAATCGGTGAGCACAAATGGCACAGGCCTCTGGGTTGAGAGATTGCTTATCCCACCAGGCAGCATGGTTGTTGCCTGCTTGGTACTTAACAAAATGATTGCTGGCTAGTAGTAAAGTTAATGAGCATCATTCAAACACATAGTGAGAGCGGGCTCAACGGGTTGGTCCATGACAAACCACATCATGGCTTTCAGTGGGATTACCAGGGGCCTGAAGGCAGCTAACCAAGCAGAACACCTGAGCACTAGGGGCATATCCTGGAAGAATACAGGCATACCTCAGAATGCGAGTTTAATCCGTTCCTGGAGACGCCTCGCCTTCCGAAAACTCGCATTCCGAAGTTAATTTCCCCATAAGAAATAAAGGGAAATGAATTAATCCGTTCCTGACTACCCCAAAAACCCCACATCAAACTAAATTTTTATACCTAATTTACCTAATTCATCTAAATAAACCTACAAAACTATGTTCCAGTTATTACTTACCTTGCTGTCGAGTGCTGTAGGCGTATGGAAGATGGTGAGGAGGGGGGAGGAGGAGAGGAGTTACTGTTTGGAAGGGGAGTCCCCTTCCATAATCACATCAGGCAGTGAGGACCTTTCTGGTGTGCTCTCCCTGGGACGTTTAACCTGAGTGCCACTAGGTCCTGGTTGAGGCTCACTGCTCGATTTCCTCACCACAAATCTGTCCATGGAAGCTTGCTTTTCCCTTCTTCGCAAGCTCTCTCTGTAGTAAGGCATCACATTGTCATTGAAAAGATTAAGACAACGGCCTACTACAGCTTTCTCTGGGTGAGTCTGTTCAATAGTTGTTTGAATCTCTTCCCACATCTGACACACCTTCTTAATTACTGCAGAAGGGACACTCGCTGGTGCTGTTGGTGCTGCTGCCACCTCCTCCTCCACTGCAGAATCATTCGCTGCTGTGTTGGCTTGCTGTTCCTGTTGAAGGGCTAGGAGTTCTTCGGTGGTCAGTTCTTCGTTGTGTTCTTCCACCAACTCCTCCACATCATCACCATCCAATTCCAAGCCCATTTGCTGGCCTAGACTAACAATTTCCTCAACAATAGGCGCATCATTTATAGGCTCAAACCCCTCAAAGTCTAGTTCTCTCACACCTTCAGGCCACAATTTTCTCCAGCCAGAGATCAGGGTTCTTTGAGTCACTTCTTGCCAGGCTTTGTCAACGAGTTTTAAAGCACTACAAATGTTAAAATGCTCTCTCCAGAACTCTTTGAGGGTGAGGTTTGTGGCTTCAGTCACTTCAAAACATTTCCGGAAAAGTGCCCTTTCATACAGTTTCTTAAAATTCGCTATGATTTTCTGGTCCATAGGCTGAATTAGAGGAGTGGTGTTAGGAGGAAGGAATTTAACTGTGAGGAATTTATTGTATTGAGGCATCAAATCATCTTCCAAGCCTGGAGGATGAGCAGGAGCATTGTCAAGGAGAAGCACGGCTTTGAGTGGCAATTGTTTCTCCTGCAGATATTTTTCTATGGCAGGGCACAGCACTTCATTCACCCACTCCGAAAAAATAAGCCTAGTGACCCATGCTTTTTTATTAGACTTCCACATCACACACAAACGGGTTTTCTGCACATTATACTGTTTGAAAACCCTTGGATTTTCAGAATGATACACTAGCAAGGGTTTAATTTTCAAATCGCCACTCGCATTTGAACACAGCACAAGCGTAAACCTATCTTTCATAGGCTTGTGTCCAGGCAAGGATTTTTCCTCCTTGGTAATGTATGTCCTCTTAGGCATTCTTTTCCAAAACAGTCCTGTTTCGTCACAATTAAACACTTGTTGCGGTAGGTATCCCTCAGCCTGTGCAAACTCTTTAAATTCGTCAATAAATCGTCCAGCGGCTGGTTTGTCTGAGCTGGCTGCCTCCCCATGCCTTGTAACACTATGGATACCACTTCTCTTTCTAAATTTTTCAAACCAGCCCCTGCTTGCCTTAAACTCTTTCTTATCTGCATCACTCGTTGCAGGGGTCTTCTTTAGAAGGTCTTCGTGCAACACCCTGGCTTTCTCACAAATAATGGCCTCCGAAACACTATCACCCCTCAACTCCTTGTCGTGTATCCAAATTAATAACAACTTTTCCACTTCTTCAAGTATTTGTGGTCTTTGTGCCGTTAATGTTCTTACTCCTTTTGCCACATTAGCACTCATAATCTTATTTTTCTTCTTAAGTATAGTGCATATTGTTGATGTGGCTTTGTTGTACTGCCTACAAAGTTCAACAACACGTGTACCGTTCTCATGCTTCCGAATGATCTCTTGTTTCTCCTCTATTGTCATCCTCACATGAGCTTTCTGGCCTTTATCCTTACCACTGGCTTTCTTGGGACTCATGGTGAGATATATAATAACAAATTGTATAGACAAATCACCAAAAATCCAACAAAACACTGAAAATCCGCGAGAAGAATTGATGTGGGGGTAGTCACTGAGCGCGAGACAATGGTAAACTGAGGGGCAGCGGGGCAGAGGGGCGACGATCGCCGAACCACCACGCGCTAGGTCGGCCTGTACGCGTATCAACAAACTCGCGTCCAAACTCGCCTCCCGAAGTAACCATCGCCTTCCGAGACAAATTTTTGGAGTAAATACTGCTCGCCTTCCGAAAACCTCGCATACAGGGACAATCGCATTCCGAGGTACCACTGTATATTTTCCAGATTGGTCGAAGAGGATATAGAAGTAGAAGTTGATGTTGAAGGTTCTGGGCGTGTGGTGGCCATTGAACGAGATGAAGAAGTTGTCCTCACCTGGAATAATGGCCAGGTAAAATTCTCAGCAGATTGTGTCATTGCTTTATTTAATACCGGATAAATATTATTAATGCAGCGCAAGCATGATGCCTGATTATTCCACTCATTTATTTAAATATTTAAACAAAATGTAAGGATATTTTATATACAGTACTGTATGTCTAAAGGAATAGGATTAAACTGATTAATGCTTATTTATTTATAATCCTGGAACGTTATTTTTCCCTACAGGCATTCTTATCTAAATATTTACTTTTGTGCTCATGGGACCTTTCCTGGAAATATTTGTACTATTGTCATGTAACAAATGTTCTCTAGGAGGGCTCCTCTCGGTGACACCCTGGAGCCAGTCACCTGGTTAGTTCTTCATATATTAGCTCCCACTTGGCCCTTAAGTCATAAAAGCCTACTGCAGATGAGAAGCAGAATGTGATCCACTAAATAGTAGCACAGGAAGTTTATGGATATTAGATCAAGCCAGGCCAAGAGAGAGAGAGAACCACCAGGAAGGTGGTGCGCCTCGAAACAAATGGCTGTAATGAGAAACACTAGCAACCCTATCAACTAGGTATGCCAAATTACCATCACTAGTTACTTACACCTCCCCATCACTAGATTGTAGTTGAGGAAAATCTCACACAAGCCCAGAGAACCAATCCCAAAGGTTTGAATTGCAAAATACAGGTGCAAATAACCCTGACAAACAGCTACCATTTTAAGCTTGAAAGAATGCCACCAAAAGAAGGAAACTCACATTAAAGGGAGCACTACAAACCTAGAATCTTTGCACCAAGTTCTTCCTTTTCTCTTGCTCGTTTTATGGTGGCCCCTTTGGTCCGGGGAGTGTTTTCGGAAAACTTTATTTTCTGTTGGGAGCCCCTTCAGTTCCCTGGAGCTATGTAGGAATGATATGCGCTATATTAGGCTGGGGCTTTGGTGAATGGAGTTCTGCCTACCGGGGACCATGAGCCAGAACCTAGCCGCGCTCAGAGAGGCGCAGGGAGGAATGGCCTAGGGAAACCCCCTTGTATTTGGCGGTATTCTCTGCCTGCCATTGACCGGTAGAAAGGCAGGCATCTCAAAACAAACCCCACATGGTAGGAAATTGCAAAAAAAAAAAAAAAAAAAAAAAAAAACAAGACCGAACAGTGAAACAGAACTCTCCAAAAGAAAACAAGGGAAAACAAGCAAGCATTAACCACCGTCGTGCCTCTTGTCCGCACAGTTTCCAAACACGGCAGCCAAAACAGCATGCCCACGAACATCATGGGCACAAGGGTAGATTGCAAGCTGGCGAGACTTGATAATCCTGCGAACGACCTTAGATACAGCCTGGCCTGGGAACAGGGAATGATGAAAGACGGGTCAACCCGAAGCACGTCCATGGCTACAGAAGCCGAGGTACGCAGGTAACCTTGCCTGATTCCCTGTTCCAGGGCTCATATTTCTCAGGTCGTTTGCAGTGCCATCCAAGCAAGCCAGCCTGCAGTCTACCCTCGTGTTCATGATGTCCGGAAGTAAGATGCGTTGATGATAGAGTTTGGTAATATGTCTTGGACCAATATTCGAGTGGTTTTGGACGTCGAACAGGGTATTGTCTGCAAGGTATCTTATTAATGTCCCTGGTCTTTACGCCCTTGCGTAGCATTGGGTCATGTGTCGCGGCCATTGGTCTTGTCTTTGATGCGATACCTGAGGTGCTGCCACCTCCCTGGTAAGTGCCCCTCTTTGTCTTTTTCAATGGGTAGTTATCTTCAGGGAGCCAACAGGACTTCCTCACAGAAAACCAGCATTGAATGTTATGAAATGCTGGTTTCTGAGTGAGCCCTTGAGGTTCCCTAACAGCCTCCCTCTTGCAGGTCGTCGGAGTGTTTTATCATTCTAGAACTGACTGGTGAGGGGCCGGCTCCCTTCTTCCCCCATCTAGGGAGGCAGGTGGAGCAAAATAGTGGAGGGCGAGTTTCACAAAATTTTGGTTTTGTTTTCATTGTTGAGTGTTCTTTTGGCATTTGGGGCTGTTGTCTCTCTTTAACCATGCAGTAGTCTGTTTTGATTTGCCTATCTTTCTGGGTGCTTTCCCTAGGTGGTGGCAAAGATAATAACCTTTAAATATAAATTGATTATAGGCTATTGCTCCCTGTACCTCTCTGGGGGGTGCCAGGTTCTGGCTCGTGGTCTCTGGTAGGCAAAAAGAACTCTGTGACTAATGACACTAAACTAGCTTGAAAAGATTGTCACTTGCTAGCGAAATGAACTGTGGGGTTCAGTTTCTAAACCAATTATGAGCCTTTGTAACCCTTTTCACTGCTGCCCACGAAATGGGTATGGGGTGTATAATAAAGAAAGAAATTGAAAAATAGTAGTATGGCACTGATCAGTGTGTGATAGCTTCAGGGAGTCTCTGGGGCTCACCCAGAACCTGGCATTTCATTACATTAAACACTGGGTTTTTGTTTTGTTGGTTTTAGATGTTTCTAATAATAAGTACATGTATGCAAGAATATGTAAATATCAAAGTAATATAAATCTGAGAACAGGCTTATATATAATTTTAAATAATGCATCATTAATTTAACCAGATGTTTCTTAATAAACAGCTTGAAAGTTTTGTATCCATTTCAGTGCTCTAAATCTGTAGTGGAACTAGCCAATCGTGCTGAGAACCTGAGTGATTCAGATGGTGGTGAAGACCGTCTTATCCTGGAGTACTACAGACACATGCTGGATCTCTTCTCCAACATGTGTCTTGACCGACAATACCTGGCTATTAGGCCTCTCTCACCGCTACTCAAGATCAATCTCATGCTCAAGTATGTCAATGTTCCTCTATGACTTTATACATCTAGATATGTTCCATAATGATTAAACAACTCAATTCTAGTACTCTAGGTTTTGTTATGTTAAATGACTAATCTTTCATTAACTAGATGGTTTTATTTATAAGTTGCATAATTTTAGATATATAATTTTATAATAAAATTTCACACTGCTTACCAAATTTAAATATTTAGCTCCATGAAGCAAATCAAGAATGGCACACAAACTTAAACTGGTTAAGGAGAACTGTAGTATGTACTCAAAGAATTAGCAAACAATTAATTTCAGAAATTAAAAATTATTAAATTGGCAGGTGGGGGGGACACTTATTTTTTATGGCATGCTACAATTTTTGCAGTAGGGAGAAAGGCTTATATTTACTGTATAGTAAATATAGTATATATAATACATTATACTGTTAGCTGTGAAATAAGTCAGATTAATAGAATAACTGTTAGTCATTCTGTAGCATAATTGCAATAGGTTATAATATACAGATGAAAGTGACATAGCTTACACGTGTATATATATGCAGTATAACTGTAAAATCTTCCAGATGATAATTGCTTTAAAACAAAGTAGCTTACACAGTGGCCAATAAGAAAGTATTAATATCAAGATAAATTATTTTGTTTCCTCATAAATATATGTTATTATGCATCATACAATGCCTCTTGCAAGGTGTACATCTATTCTTTAAATGTAAGTTTCTGGAGGGGCCGAAGGGTGGCTGCCTGTAGCTGAGATCTTCACTTGGATGTGCGGGCGGTTTATTTAAGCACTGTCGGATTGCTATAAATATGAAATACGTAGCTCGAGAAATAATGTCAGGACAGTGAAATAAGTATAAACTTTCAAAGCGCTGCATCACAACAGTGTCGTCACTGCTGAAATCACGGCTAACACTTTGCCCAGTTCCCACACTCGTGCGGGTCACCCCCTACCGTAATTAGACATTGATAGGCATATGTCTGGGTGGGGAATTTTATTGCGAGTTCAGTGATATCAAAATAAGCGCTGTAAGATGACTGTGAGGCTGGCAACAAATGAAAGAGTATGAACATTTACTTCCTGTTTGGGTGTCACGGCGAGTCATCTTCGTGTTTATTTACTTCATGGTGGGATAGCAAATGCTTTGGTGACATTTTATGCATATGATCTTGTAGAGAATTTTATTGCCAACGCATTGATACCAAAATGAAAAACGTAGCTCGAGAATTGATGTTAGGAGCGTGAAAAGATTATACACTTTTTTGTGTTTACGCTTGAGCGCCCAGAACGCCGCGCGCACAATGCGCTTTTTTTTTCCACGAGTGCCGCGCGCACTAAAGTGTTAATGGCCAACCAGAGGCCAGAGCCAGAGATGCAGGGAGCACAGGATTGTTACACTCACCCTGGTCATTGAAACACACACAAAGTAGGCAAAGAAATATAGACACTGCAAGTGTGCTCCTTGAGTTGCCAGATTTAGTGGGTTCCAGTTATTCCATATAAGTGAAGCCATTTTTGGGGCTCTGTCCTATAGGGGCCATTTACTTGTGCATTGTTTTCATGCTTAGAGATTGCTTCTCATGTGCTTGTTTCTGCGCTTCACTTGTTGTGCGGAATTGGTTTATGAGTCGTCTTGAGCTGCATATGTTTAGAGCAGACCATCCCTCGAGGCTGGTTTGGCATTGCCTCTGTCCATACAGTGACTTCTCTAGTGGGTTCAGATGTTTGTCCCAGAGAGGCTATACTACAGTACAATGTAGGATGCCTCACCCAGAATAGTGCAAGGGTCATTGTCTCTTATATTAGGCTTTGAGGTTGGGGCATTCTGAGCTTTCATTGATAAGGGTAATTATCCAAGTGTAATTACAGGATGAGAGGTACGTTCGTGGTGTATCGTCTTCCCAGTACTCTTTGTTGTATAATGCTTTGAAACTACTGTTTCAACCACCTTCTCTTAGCTTGTTCCAACCGTCTACCACTCTGTTTACAAAAGAAAACGTTCTAATTTTTTTTTTGGCACCTTTGTTTCCTTAGCTTGAATCCTCTTTTTAGTGAAGTTACTGGTTTCCCGAATTCCTCTTTGTCAATTTGGTCGATTCATGTTATTATTTTGGAAGTGGTGATCATATCTCTTCTTTTTCTTCAATCTTCTAGTTTTGGCATGTTTAACCCCTCTAGTATCTCCTCGTAACTCTTGTTTTTCTGTTCTGGAAGCCATTTTGTAGCAAGCCATTGCATCTTTTCCAGTTTATTTGTTTGCTTCTTGAGAAATGGGCATGATACAACTGCTGCATATTCCAATTTTGGTCTCACGAAAGTCATGACAGTTTCTTTAGTATTTCATCATCCATATAATTAAAAGCAAGTCTGAAGTTTAAAAGTGACGCATACGCTCCTCTCACAATGTTCTTTGTGTTTTCTCTGGCAACAGCTTACTTTGTGGTACCCAAAACCACCCCCTAGGTTTCGTTCTTCATTAGAGTTCTGTAATTCCTTCCCACATAATTTGTAAGTTGTGTTTGGTCTATTTTCTCCAATTCCACAGTCCATAACATGTCATTTATTCACAATGAATTTCATTTGTCACTTGCAGCTCCAAGCATTTATTTTATCTAGATCAATTTGGGACAAAAGAACTATGTCTTTAGATGAGAGCATGAAACTCCTCAGCCTGACAACTGGAAGCAAGAGCTAACAAAAACACTGCCTTAAAATGATATCCCAGATTGAAGGGGCAACCATGAACCGAGGGGAAGAAAGAAACACTTAACATACAATATCTGGAGGCCAAGGGGAGCAGGAGCTAGCCAGAGGTGAAAGAAAGCATGAAAAAACTTGCTAACAGCACTGAAGAAATATTGACTCCAAAGGCCTATAAGAGGGGCTACCCCAAAGCTGAGCAATAAGAGGCGACATTATTAGAAGTGAGGTGCCGATCAGCAAACAACCCGGATAAAAAGGAAAGAGCCACTGGAACATACACAGAAAACACATGACAAAGAGAGGCAAAGAGGCAAAAAGAGCACCAGGACACTGGATTATGTTGCCCAAAGAAAGATGCAGATGGACACCAATGAATCATTCACCTGCATGCCATACAAATGGTGGTAAACCTGTGTCAGAAACTCTAGATGCAAAGATCAGAGGAAAAGGTTGAACCAGCAAGGTATGTCACTGGGCTGATCATCTGAAAGAGATGGAACTGCAAAAAAATACCGAAGTTTGGACATTGAGCCAGACCAAAGGTTCTTTTTGCCCAAGTACCTCTCCAACCTGGAAAGCACCTGGAACATCAACTGAACCAGGAGTGTGTGTTAAATGACCCCCCCCCCCCTTCCCCTCTCAATCAGTCCAACCAAAAAGCATCCACTGCAAGAGCTTCACGATTGGTGAACAACCTGAAAAGTCCAGGTCCAAATAGGGAATGACCAAAGTGAACCCCCCTTCCTATGATTCAGTAAATGAACTACCTGGGAGCAATCACAATAGGTCAGAGGACTGAGCCCAGAGTAAGACAAAACCTCCACAGAGCCTGCCATAATGTACATGTTTGCAGATGATGCAAAGTTAAAGAGGAGAATAAGAATTGAAGAGGACTATAGGGTGGTGCAAGAAGACATTAACAAACTAAAGAAGTAGGTAGATAAATGGCTGCTGGAATTTGATCCAAATAAGTGCAAAATAGTTAATAAATGGGTAAGGGAGATAGGAGACCTGTATTTAACTATACCACGAGAGGAAGGCAATGACTGTATAGGTAACAATGAGAGAAAAAGACCTGGGAGTAGACATAATCCCAACACTAACACCACAACTTTAGGTGAACAGGATAACATCAGCAACATTTGGGTAGTTAGCAATCATAACAACATTTAAGAATCTAAACATGGGAGCTTTTAAGTTCATATACACTGCCTCTAAGACCAATACCTAGTATGGAGCACCAGCATTGTACGCCACACCTTGTGAAGCATAAACAGAAATTTGAGAAAAGTTCAGAAGTTTGGATCTAGATTAGTACCAGAATTAAGAGGCCTCAGCTATGAGGACAGGTAGAGAGAACTCAGCCTCACAACCTTAGAGGAGAGAAGAAACAGAGGGGATATGATAACTATGTACAAGATCTTGAGGGGAATAGATAAAATGGATAAAGGAAGCATATTTAAATTAAATTGTGGTAGGACAAGGGGGCATTGTTGGAAGCTGGATATGCAGTTGAGTCCATGTGCTAGTACAAAGTATTTTATATCTCTGAACATCTAAGAGATACTGATATGAAATGCTGCCATTGATCTCATAAAGTGTTTCACAACATACATAGTAAAATGAATCATAATGACTGACATTTTGAAGTACAGTAAGATTCATAATACATGGAACCAACCACCAGTGCCATAAATTTGCTTAGACCACATGTAGATAATTTATGGTTGAGCCTCTTGTGGCTCCCTGAAGCTTTGCACTTAGATGATTCCCATCTACCAGGTTGTATCAATCATGGAGTTCTTAGGCCTACTAGGGAGCAGAGGTAGAACCTAGCCCCCTCACAGAGGTGCAGGGAGCAGTGATATTTTGCTACCTCATTGGGAAGGGATCAGAAAGTAAGCCAGTCAAAACAAACCACTGCTGACTCAAAGAAGACCGAAGTCTCACAGCCTGCTTCATGAACTCCCCCAACTATGTAAACAAATGATCGAATCTCTTGAAGCTTGTATGAGCTCATTTGCCTCACTTTCCCCTCTCATTTGGGGCGAGGGGCTGACCCGCTCCAGGGATCCGAGATGTCAGTGGTTCCCGGGAGTTCTTTTGACAGTTCACAAGGTTGCAGTCTCTATTTCAGTCAGCAGTGGTCTGTTTTGTCTCAGTGACTTTCTGGTTACTTCCCTGGGGTGGCATAAATATATAAGTGCCACTGTTTCCTGCACATCTGAGGGGGGAGGGCCAGGTTCTGGCACTGGTCCCCGGTAGGCCTATAGAACTCCACGGCTGATGCGACCTAGTAGATGGTACACTGTCACTGATAATAGCTTCAGGGAGCAATAAAGGGCTTCTCCAGAAAATTTGATTTTATAATGTAAAAAGTAGTTTACTATTGATATTTCTTTTCTTTTACATATGACCAGATGCTTGGAAGAGGAAACTCTTTCTTTTGACTTACGAGCTGCCTTCTGCCGCTTAATGCTGCATATGCACGTGGACTGTGAGCCGCAAGAGATGGTCACACCGGTCAAATATGCAAGATTATGGTCAGAAATCCAACCCCACATGTCTATTTCAGAGTGAGTATATATTCATTAAGTAGATATATTTAATTGAACTATCACATTGGTACAAGTTAATATAATAATATATTTTTACTATATTAGATCTTAGCTTTGTGGAAATAGAGTAGTCGAGCAAAACTTTACCGTTTGTGTCTAGAAAGACCAAGTTTGATAATGAAAATTAATTTAGAAGTGCTTTAGGCTAAAGTTATAATTTTTACTATACTTTAAATTAAGGTAACCTGCTATATGGCATTTCAATTTCAATTTGACTAATTATGTCTAGATTGCCATTTATAATAATCATTTATAATTTTAAGTCAAGTGGTAGATTTTGGTGGAGTTCAAGACCATGTTGGGAGAGGGGTAAGGGTGAAGTACTGGTAGTCAACATATGTATGAAATTTTAATTGGGAGGATTATGTAAATATTGCAGAGTTTGAGTTTGTCTGTTCAGTCAAAAAAAAAAGTTGCCAATGATCTTGGCAGCTGAGTCATACATGTAAAGCTAATAAACTTTATTTCCTGAAAATAAATGTTTAAGTGTCTTTACTTTCTTGGGGGAGACCCAGTAGCTCCCTGAAGCTATCTCGCTGAGTTGCCTTTAAACTGTGGATCACATCAGCTGTGTGGTTCAGTTTGGCCCACTGGAAAACAGTGTCAGAACCTGGACCCTCTCACAGAGGCACAGGAAGCAGGGTGACACTCCTCCACCTCACCGGGCATGGCAATCAGAAAGTCGGCAAACTAATAGTCCACTGATGGGTTCAGAGAGACTGAAGCCTCACAATCTGCCAAACAAACTCCTCCAACAATGTAAACAAACAAATTAAAATTTCTCAAAACAAGCATGCACTCGTTTACCCGACCCCTCCCATTTGTTTGGAGGAGGAAGAGGGGGGGGGGGCCATGGATCACACTGTCCACTGGCTTGAGTCCTCAGTTGCTCCACTGATGTGACGCCTCCCAGACATCTACAGTAGGGCCCCAGAGTTCACAGTAAGCTGTGGCTGGCCCCCTCTGGACTTTGTCTGTTGTGCTTTGTTTTGTACACTGTGGTGTAGTGTAGTGTGGGCCTGGCTTTTAGTGCTTAGAGCTGCATGTTTACAGTGTTACCTTTCCGGAGTGCTCACTAGCACTGCCCCTGCACTGACAAATTTTTCTTCTGGTCTGTTTGGAAGCTCGCTTCCTTAAAGGTTCTTTCTGCTTGGGTGAACAAGTCTTGTGCCGTTGTCTTGGTTGTCTTGTGTTTTTGCAACCAAGAACAAGTCTTGGTTACTTGTGTGCCGAGGTCAGCCTTCCCTGCCGTGTAGTGCAGGGTGTGTTGGCTTACTTTTAGGTCCAGAATAGCATTCCCAGTGCCTGGATGTCCTGCTTAGTTTATCCTTCAGACCCTGAAAATATCCTACAGGTTATGATGGCCGATGGATATTCCCTCTGAACCTGTTCTGGCCTCATGCAGGTTTGAGGAGGTTCATCATCAGTTCCACTGGGCAGTCATTCTGCCTATGCCATGCCACCAGTTGAGTCGAAGACACCTACAGCTCGGAGTCCTGTAGGAATTATGCTCCCCCCATGTGATGCACTTATCTGACCCTCCAAATGAAGTTGCAGCATTTCAGGCAATTACCACTTTGAGGGTTCATTTCAACTTCTTGCAGCTGTCTAGGTTGAGTGCACAATTGGATGCCCAAAATCTATCTCACCTAGCATTTAGAGGCCCAGAATTGAAGGTGTTTGTGGACTTCACTTTGGCTCCATCTGCACCTCCTCTTCCTTCCCCTTCTGGCATCGTCAGCCCTGCCTCTGATCATGCTTCCCCTTTTTCCCTGCCCTGGACGTGAAGCATTCGATGGGTTGTGAGTCAGGGCAGGGTTCAGCTCAGGATATGGGTTGGCCGCCTCTCGGGAGCAGCTTGTTCCGATTCGGGCACAAAGGCAGTTGAGCTTGCTTGTTCCACTGAGGTTTTGGGGTTTTCTTTCTAACTAACCCCTTCTTCTTTTGAAACCTCTTCCCTGGACTCAGTTTTTCTATCCTGGGCAGTGGGCAAGGATGGTGGCTCTGTCCGAGACCTTCATGGTTGGTTCCCAGGGGCATGGCAGGAGTTGGATAGTCTTCCTTGGATTCTCTTGTCCCCAATTGCCTCTTTGACCATTTTGGATGAGGGCCTATTGTTTTAGGTGGAGGAGGTTTTCATATTCCCTTGCCCCCCCCTCCCTCTCCTTGTATAATCTTGATTTGAATGTGGCTCTTACCAAGGTGCATTTCTGCGTGCCGTTAGGCCCATTGGAACAATCTTTCCGGAGGTTTTCTTTCTCTCGAACCCCTTCATCACTTACTAGGAGGTTCTGTTTAGGTACCTCCTGCATGACCAAGAGTATACTTCTTTGATAGGCCTTGCTTCTATTAAGTTTGGGTCTTCTTTTATCTTTAGGTTGTATTATGAGATCCCAGAGTTGCCCTAGCTACCAACCCTCTTATTTTGGAGCTCCACTTTAAGCGGCTCCTTGAGGACGATGAGGTATTTGGGTCATGAGCTATGGTGTCTGCAGCAGTGTCGTTATCAGCTTTGCCTAAGCTGTATGCACCTGCGGTCCAGGATGCGGCGGCCACATTGTACCCTGCCCGGTTACACATTAACAGACTATCTTAGCCTAGTCATTAAAATTGGGTTGGGTCCTGGACCTCTTGTCTGCCTCCACTTTTTGCTTATCCTCTTTCCAGAGGATGTAGTTGGTCAGTTTCTCTCTTCTGCTGGCACATCTTGTCAGTCTATTTTGGAGCTTCTTTCTACTCCTGGATTATGGTTTCATTCCTGGAGATGGTCGGGTTGGGCTGGGGCATTACCTACTGTTGGTTGAGGTAGGCCCCGGGTGGAGCCAGACTCCTGGTTGTGTGCACCTTTCGTTGCCAGTTCATCCTCTGCTGGTTGATGATGTGCTCATGCTTTGTCAAGGGCTGCTGCTTTTTCTTGGATTGCACCAGCCTTTTTGTGGTTTACCCCTTTGATGGGGCAGTGGGGGAAAGCTCCCTGTTTACCAGCTCCTGGTCCCACAATTAGTGGGCTTTTTTTGCATAGCAGTGGAGTTGGTTGGTCCCTCTTTGTTTCAGGGCAGGCCTCATTCCCTCGCCTTTGCCGGGTCATCATGGAGTGGGTTGCTACCATTGTGGTTGAAATGATCATGATTCTTTGGTGGAGGTCCTGTCTCTTCCAGGTTCCAAAGTGGAACTCAGCAGAGCTCTAGTTCATCTTCAATCTCTTGAGCTTTTACAACTTCATCCCATGCCTCATACTCCAGATGACCACTTTGGCCCAGGTTCACCTCATCTTAGAGGCAGACTCTTGGATGACATCCCTGGACCTCTGGGGTGTGTTCTGGCATGTACCTATTCATCCAAGGTTTGGGGATTGGTTAGGTTTTGTCGTGAGACATCAGGCTTGCTGCTTTCAGGTTCTCCTCTTCTGCTTAAATCTGGTTCCCTGCATTTTCACCAGATTGGCTCTTGTCATGGTGTCTCGTCTTCATTTGTTTGGAGTTTGTTCTGGTTTACCTCGATGATTGGCTAGGGTGGGCCCCCAGTCAGTCCAGAGGTCTGCTAGCCAAGGATCTGGTTCTTTCCCAACTTGCCAGGTATAGATTTCTGGTGAACTGGTGGTAGTCCCAGGTTCAGACTTTGCTGGGTCTTGTGCAAGATTCTCAACCAGCGTCGCTTTCCCTTCCTCTGGCAGCTTTGCTTTGGCTCCAGTGGTACTGCCTACTGGTGTTGTGATATGGCATCGGGTGACTGCTTTTGCTTGAAAGGTTGTACAGGAGAATGAACTTTATCTCCGTTTTTTTTTTCTTTTTCCATGGGCAGGGTGTGGTTTCAGGAGCTGTTCTGGTTTCTCCAATTCTGCTCCTTTCACTTCCATTGTGACCACTGTGTGCAGGCCCCATTTGAAATTTGCCAGCTTCTGCATCACCGGCTTTCTCTTCAGGCCTTTTGGGTTTGGTTCATTGGCGTTGGCCTCCCCCTCCCTTGCTCAACATCTTTACGGATGCCTCGACTCTAGGTTGGGACGTCGTGACCAGTGCTCACCAGGCTGCTCAGGGTCACTGGTATCTTCCTTGTCATTAGGTGCACAGTACGGTGTGGAGTTCATGGCGATGTGGCATGCCCTGAAGAGGATTCAAATTCCTTTGGACTCCATGCTCCAGCTCCAGTCGTACTGTGTCCCCAGTGGTTCCTTGCCTGAACTGTGGCAGGGCTCTCCTCAGTCAGTTGCCCTTGTCTCCTGAATTCTTGGGGTTTGGTTTTCTGGGTGGTTCACATTTGAGGAGCGTCCAGCACTCTTTTAGATGGTCTGTCCTAGTAGTTCCTTTCCATCTCCATGGAAACCCTTGGCTCTGCCTCCTTCCTGTGGTTTGGCGAGGTGTTCAGGTGCTGTGACTTAGATCTCTCTCCTCCTTTCTCGACGGAGGAGGAGGAGAGAGACCATGAGAGAGGGAGAGGGAGAAGTGGGGGAGGGGGGAGCATGTTGGGAGAGAAGGGGAGGAAGAAAGGTGGAGAGGGGGAAAATAAGTAATAGGGGCAGAGATAGGGGAGAATGGGAGAGGATGGGAGCGAGCGGGATCTGGGCACTGACGGGTACCCCATCTGGTACGTACTGTACATATATGGCATTACTTTGCACCAAGGTACATTTATATATATATTCTGTATTTCAATATTGTTTGTTACTACTTTGCTCAGTACCTGTAATCTACTTTTTAAGAATTTAAGTTTTGATGTTTAGTAAATTGTTAATGTGAATCATTTTGATCTCTGTTAATTTGTGCCAACTGGTGCAAGCTGCAGGACTAAACCACTACGTTGGTAATAATGAGATTTATCTTTTCATCCTGTTTTATCATGAAGTTTTGCATGGGAATTCTTTGCATGTTCAACAGACTTTCAGCAGTGAATTAAAGCTTATGCATTTGCCTCCATGCCAGATGATCAGAGTCTGGGTTATGGAAGAAGTTCTTGTGTGTATAACAGTGCAGTGATTCACCCCGAGCAGTGTGTTATAAATGAATCTGCCAGGGATTGGTAGTTTAAACTCTATTTCAATTATTGGATGCAAGTAGTATCACTTAAATATAATATCACAGTATACTATGGTAATGATAGTATTACAGTACTAAATACATTGATAGTATTTCAGTACGCTAAGTACATACTGATAATACTGTATTTCAGTACACTAAATACATACTGATAATACTGTATTTCAGTACACTAAATACATACTGATAATACTGTATTTCAGTACACTAAATACATACTGATAATACTGTATTTCAGTACACTAAATACATACTGATAATACTGTATTTCAGTACACTAAATACATACTGATAATACTGTATTTCAGTACACTAAATACATACTGATAATACTGTATTTCAGTACACTAAATACATACTGATAATACTGTATTTCAGTACACTAAATACATACTGATAATACTGTATTTCAGTACACTAAATACATACTGATAATACTGTATTTCAGTACACTAAATACATACTGATAATACTGTATTTCAGTACTAAGTACATACTGATAATACTGTATTTCAGTACACTAAATACATACTGATAATACTGTATTTCAGTACACTAAATACATACTGATAATACTGTATTTCAGTACGCTAAATACATACTGATAATACTGTATTTCAGTACACTAAATACATACTGATAATACTGTATTTCAGTACACTAAATACATACTGATAATACTGTATTTCAGTACGCTAAGTACATACTGATAATACTGTATTTCAGTACACTAAATACATACTGATAATACTGTATTTCAGTACACTAAATACATACTGATAATACTGTATTTCAGTACGCTAAATACATACTGATAATACTGTATTTCAGTACACTAAATACATACTGATAATACTGTATTTCAGTACACTAAATACATACTGATAATACTGTATTTCAGTACACTAAATACATACTGATAATACTGTATTTCAGTACACTAAATACATACTGATAATACTGTATTTCAGTACACTAAATACATACTGATAATACTGTATTTCAGTACACTAAATACATACTGATAATAATATATTTTCAGTACACTAAATATAACAGTAATATTATATCAGTACACTAAATACAACAGTAATATCATTATATTTTCCGTACACTAAATACAACATTAATTTAGGTACAATATTTATTGTATGCCTGTTCACTAAAAAATTATATAATGCTTCAAGTTAGGTAACCTAAAGAAACTTTGATTAATTCTCTCTTGGTTAAATTCTTCATGTAATTGCTAAGTAATATTATTTATATTTGTGAAATCTATGCTAGCTCTATCATTCTTGATTTTATTTATATAATGTGGAAAATAAGAAATGAGTCGGTAAAACATTTTAGAAAAATGTGTTTTGTACGCCAATAAATATTTTAATACTCTCCGCTAATCTGCATTTCCAAGGTGTTTTATAATAGCTTTAAAAATGCATTTTTAAAATATTTGATACAACATTCCTTAATAAATAATTGATATAAAATCTTATTTTCGTTAACTTTCAACATATTAAGTTTGTACTATACAGTAGAACCTAACCTTATATTGTATAGTGTAGATAACGTTTACCTGCAGCAGTTGTAACAATAGCTTAAATATACTTAGGAAAATAAAATGTTGATAGTTTTGGATGGACATGTCGGTATTTTCATCCAGACATGCAACACTTCACTCAAGGCAAGAACATGTTATAACCTCAGCTGCCGTACTTTAATGTGAAAGTTACAGAACGCTACATAAGAGTGGCAAATGGAAAAATGGCTCTGGAGGAGAGTCAAATAATTTTTTAGACCTCAGAAGAAAGAGGTTTCAAAAAGTGGAACAGTGAGACTATATGGAATTGGCTGAAAGAACCACTTGCATACCCAAATCACAGATACAATTACACCCCACAACAGAGCTAAAACTACGACAGGCAACAATGCAACAATCATCACTGGTCAGAACAACTAAGTTTTATTTTCTCTATTTTTACTCCCAGTACTTCCACCACCTCATTTGTAGTGTTAACAAAGTTGCTTAGGAGTAATTTTTTAAACCTGCAATTTTGAAAAAAAGAAGTCATAGATTCCGGCTAAGAAAACAAATATGCGATCAAAATTTGCAAAAGTTCTGTTTTTGCAATTGAATTGTGTATTTTTGGAATAATTTGAGAAAGTAAAGGGTACAAAACCAATGGAATCTTCAAACGAACATCTTACAAAGATGATAGGGAAGACACAAGCATCTCTCTCATCCTGTAACTACACTTATGTAATTAAACAGGCATACATACATACATACATAGATTTCTAAATTGTTTGATACATAATTACTATGCAGGTTTATGGTTCTACTGTATTATACAATAAATAAATGCACTACACCACATCCTGCGAGACACTGTGGGTCTCTCACGAGCCTCACATCAGCTGCAATATAAAATGCTTTAAAGTTTGTTATATTTTTGTTGACAATTTCTTCCATGTTTTCTATGTACAATACTGTACTGTCTTAGTAACTTGAACATAATTATTTGTTCCCGTGTCCTGCCTGAATTGATAGAAATTACAATACAATATTGTGTTTCAGTGCATTTATTTGCAATAAAGTTTCTACTGTATTGTGATTTACTGTTTATCTATTCATCTAAAAGGAGTTCATAAAATATATTATAATAAACTGCATTTATTTCTTGATATGCTATTATAAAACAAATTTTTATTGATATTAGCTTTTAATTAATTTTGCACATGCTTTAGTAGGTGTTTTCACCAATTATTACACTGTATTGCTTAACATTCTCACCTTTTAAGTTTATATTTGTAATGATATAAGTGTAAAGATCAGTTACAGCGATAATATAAAACATATCTGAGATATTTTCTATGTTATTTATAAATAATATATATGAATTTAGTCTTACTAAGTTATGTATTTCAGCTATGACAAGCATGCAGCAATGCACAGTACAGAAGCCGCTGCAACCACATTCAAGGATGTTATTATTTTTGTGGAAGAATATCTTTGTAATGTGGTTGACAAGATGTGGAGCTTCTCAGATTGTGAACAGAATAAACTCACATTTGAGGTATGTTTTGAAATTCACTAGTTTTTACTAATGCTCAAGTGTTTAGTGTTTGGCCTACAATTTGAGAGCTAAATGTGTTCTCTCTTAGTGTAAATGAGTGTTGTGAGTTACACTTGTCTTGGAGAACAAGAGTTTTCCAATCGCTGTCTCATATATATGAGAGGTTGAATGCTCTAGTCCTTAACATCATATTTAGAGTTGAATGGGTGAACATGATTAGTCACAATAATGTGGCTGAAAAATGTTGACCAGTCCACACACTAGAATTTGAAGATGACAACGTTTCGGTCTATCCTGGACCATTATCAAGTCAATTGAATGGTGTCGTGATAAATTTCCCTTCCTAGACATCTTAGTAAAAATGACGAACACCTCACTGAGCCTCACCATGTACAGGAAAGTACACATGCAGGTAGCTATCTCTGTTACTTTAACAACCAGGCAAAGAAAGTAAGATATAGTGTTGCTTCAGGTCTTTTCATAAGAGCATTGCAAATCTGTAGCCCTCAGTGGTTACAGTGGAAAATGGCGTTTCATTACATTCAACACTGGTTTTTTATGCATCTTTATCGCCATCTCTATGGCATTCATTATTTTTTTTTATTTATATATAGAAGAGTTCTTATATTCTTGTACAGCCACTAGTACGCGTAGCATTTTGGGCAAGTCCTTAATCCTGTGTTCCCTAGAATACGACCTCGTGAAAAATCGTTTAACCACTACACCATGGGGACTGCACCTGCACCTGAATATGGCTGAATTGATGGTGTTCTACCTGCAATTATTTTTTCAGTGGAAGTATGCTGTTTCTTGGCACTCTCTCCACCACTTCCTTTCTTTTTGTTATTGCTCTTAGGTTTATAAGCATGTTAGTTTTGATCCTATCTTGTTTTAGAACGTCATTTTGTTCCAAATACTGTCATCACTTATCATGCAGTGCTGGCAGAGCCACTGCCGCATACTTTAGCATCGGTTTGTCCTCAGCACAATTTGGTGAATTTTTGTGCATTATTTCACCTCCTACCTGTTCGTGCACTGCTTGAGCCCATGTGGTCTTTGAACTGCATTCTTCTCTCTACTTCTTAGTTTTGTGTGTCTCATTCAGTCTGGTTCTCTTTTTTTTCTGCTCTCTTTTAGTTGGTGCTTCCTTCTGGTTGTAGGTTCAGGGAGTTTTATGTTCACCTCAGGAGGCGGGGGATTTTGTTGTTGACCCCAGTGGGCATTTTCTTCGTTCGTTGCTCCGCTCTTTTTTTTCTGGTGAATGGAGAGTCAGCCTGCTTCCAGATGGGGTCCTTGGGTGTTGATGCTTTGTTGGTTAGACTCAGGGGGTACATCATGTGTTATGCCTGGTGGCAGCTCTTCACCTCTTCTTTTGTACCACTAATTGTGCCTTTAGTGATATGTTGCGGGTGGTTCTTGTTCCCTCGGTTTCCTGTCCCGAGGCTCGTATCTTTTCACTTTTCCATAGCGTCATTCTGTCTTGCCAGCCTGTGGTCTTCAGGGAGCCACCGGGGCTCACCCAGAAATTGAAATGTTATTACATTCAGTGCTGATGGTTTGAAATGGGAAAGAGCTTTATGTGACCAATAGAATTTGGAGGAACAGAACACCAAATATATAAATAGAAAACTGTCTCATTAATTCACTCATATTACTGTTATGTTGAAAACAATAAATGTAAACACTTGTACATTTATTATTAGATATATGAAGATGCATCAGCATTATAATCAAGAGAAACCTCCAGTAAAAAACTTAAAAGTTTGCCATAACAAAAATTCAGATATTCCTGAAGTGACAAACTACTGTACTTTATCATGTTTCAATTTTTTTTACTCCTATTAAAAATTTGTTGTCCTCTTTGAGCTTTTGATAAATGTGATTAACTTAACAAAAATTAACAAAAAAAATAACCCTTAGACAGCAGTTATTCCCAAGTGTTAACTCAAGTGTTACGCTATTATTGTCGTATGATGATTTAAACGATTATTGTCCGGGGTTTTACAGGTATGATGCAAATAAGGATATAATACCTCTCTGGGTGTAATGGAGTTTACCTGGACCCATGACAAATTCCTGCAATCATTTCATGGTTTTGCTACTACAGTATGTGAATGTAGTCATTGTCATGAATGTCACCAGGTGAATACAGTCATCCTCATGAATGTCAGCAGGTGAATGCAGTCATCGTCATGAATATCAACAGGTGAATGCAGTCATCGCCATGAATGTCACTAGGTGAATGTGGTTATCGTCATTGCATAAAATTCCATCATAATTACACGGTGTATGCATTTGATGTTGACAATTCTGACAAGTGTGTGTGGTTGTAATGAGGTATATCAGGTCCAGCAATCATCAGTTGAACCATTATCAGGTGTTACATGTACGGGAGTCTGCCATCACATGTGGGCGCACGGTGGTGGTTTATGCCTTTGTTTACGTTTATGTTCTCGCCTGTATGGTGCCACTTAGGCCACATGTCATCGCCCAGAGCCGAGCATCATTGTATATTTTGACCAGACCACACACTAGAAGGTGAAGTCAAGTCATTCTCAAGTCAATATCGACTTGAGAATGGTCCAGGACGGACCAAAACGTGGTCGTCCCTTCACCTTCTAGTGTGTGGTCTGGTCAACTTACTTTAGTCACGTTATTGTGACTCATCGCCTGCATTGTATATTTTGTTTATTTAGTCTTCGCTACTCTATACTGGTATAGAGTAGTATACCAGTGTAATATATTACTCTATACTGGTATAGAGTAGTATACCAGTGTAATATATTACTCTATACTGGTATAGAGTAGTATACCAGTGTAATATATTACTCTATACTGGTATAGAGTAGTATACCAGTGTAATATATTACTCCATACTGGTATAGAGTAATGAAGTATACCAGGTAAGTATACCAGTGTAATATATTACTCCATACTGGTATAGAGTAGTATACCAGTGTAATATATTACTCCATACTGGTATAGAGTAGTATACCAGTGTAATATATTACTCCATACTGGTATAGAGTAGTATACCAGTGTAATATATTACTCCATACTGGTATAGAGTAGTATACCAGTGTAATATATTACTCCATACTGGTATAGAGTAGTATACCAGTGTAATATATTACTCCATACTGGTATAGAGTAGTATACCAGTGTAATATATTACTCCATACTGGTATAGAGTAGTATACCAGTGTAATATATTACTCCATACTGGTATAGAGTAGTATACCAGTGTAATATATTACTCCATACTGGTATAGAGTAGTATACCAGTGTAATATATTACTCCATACTGGTATAGAGTAGTATACCAGTGTAATATATTACTCCATACTGGTATAGAGTAGTATACCAGTGTAATATATTACTCCATACTGGTATAGAGTAGTATACCAGTGTAATATATTACTCCATACTGGTATAGAGTAGTATACCAGTGTAATATATTACTCCATACTGGTATAGAGTAGTATACCAGTGTAATATATTACTCCATACTGGTATAGAGTAGTATACCAGTGTAATATATTACTCCATACTGGTATAGAGTAGTATACCAGTGTAATATATTACTCCATACTGGTATAGAGTAGTATACCAGTGTAATATATTACTCCATACTGGTATAGAGTAGTATACCAGTGTAATATATTACTCCATACTGGTATAGAGTAGTATACCAGTGTAATATATTACTCCATACTGGTATAGAGTAGTATACCAGTGTAATATATTACTCCATACTGGTATAGAGTAGTATACCAGTGTAATATATTACTCCATACTGGTATAGAGTAGTATACCAGTGTAATATATTACTCCATACTGGTATAGAGTAGTATACCAGTGTAATATATTACTCCATACTGGTATAGAGTAGTATACCAGTGTAATATATTACTCCATACTGGTATACCAGTAATATATTACTCCATAGTAGTATACCAGTGTAATATATTACTCCATACTGGTATACAGTAGTATACCAGTGTAATATATTACTCCATACTGGTATAGAGTAGTATACCAGTGTAATATATTACTCCATACTGGTATAGAGTAGTATACCAGTGTAATATATTACTCCATACTGGTATAGAGTAGTATACCAGTGTAATATATTACTCCATACTGGTATAGAGTAGTATACCAGTGTAATATATTACTCCATACTGGTATAGAGTAGTATACCAGTGTAATATATTACTCCATACTGGTATAGAGTAGTATACCAGTGTAATATATTACTCCATACTGGTATAGAGTAGTATACCAGTGTAATATATTACTCCATACTGGTATAGAGTAGTATACCAGTGTAATATATTACTCCATACTGGTATAGAGTAGTATACCAGTGTAATATATTACTCCATACTGGTATAGAGTAGTATACCAGTGTAATATATTACTCCATACTGGTATAGAGTAGTATACCAGTGTAATATATTACTCCATACTGGTATAGAGTAGTATACCAGTGTAATATATTACTCCATACTGGTATAGAGTAGTATACCAGTGTAATATATTACTCCATACTGGTATAGAGTAGTATACCAGTGTAATATATTACTCCATACTGGTATAGAGTAGTATACCAGTGTAATATATTACTCCATACTGGTATAGAGTAGTATACCAGTGTAATATATTACTCCATACTGGTATAGAGTAGTATACCAGTGTAATATATTACTCCATACTGGTATAGAGTAGTATACCAGTGTAATATATTACTCCATACTGGTATAGAGTAGTATACCAGTGTAATATATTACTCCATACTGGTATAGAGTAGTATACCAGTGTAATATATTACTCCATACTGGTATAGAGTAGTATACCAGTGTAATATATTACTCCATACTGGTATAGAGTAGTATACCAGTGTAATATATTACTCCATACTGGTATAGAGTAGTATACCAGTGTAATATATTACTCCATACTGGTATAGAGTAGTATACCAGTGTAATATATTACTC